CCTTTGAAATTCCATTGAAAAATTAATAATAACTTCGATGTTAGTACATCAAATCCGTTTGTCAGACTCGCAGTTTGATTTATGAAAACCATCAAATAAAGTTAATTTTAATTAAAAGAAAATTCTGAAGTTATTGTTAATTATTATTACATGCAATTTCGGTCACCGCCTACATGCGACAATGTTGTTTATAAAAAAGTACCATCGATTAATTGCCTTTATTGCATTTATAACCGCATCATAAGTGCATTTAAAATGTGGGGAAAACAGGGAGAAATAAATTAACATTATGGTTAAAATGATCATCAGAGATATTCGACTGAATGGATTTTTTCGCATTTTTGAGTTATTAAACAAATTTAATTGATAAATAAAGCTTTTTCGAACCGGTTTAAATTGTTTCAAATTTCGCACTAATCCGTTCATTTAAAAATTATTAGAAAAATGTGAACGCAATTTCGATCACGGTCGTCGTCGAAATCCTTTTCAAATTTAATATAGATATCACGTTTGATGCCGACATCTCTTAGAACCTAATGTAGTTATTTTTCATACAATGGCCTTGATGCTTTATTTGAAAAATGATAAACAGAGCATATCATGCTTATCCAACAATATCTTGAGAAAATCAAAATTTTTTAGGGGCTTTTTTGGCGAAATAGAATTATTTCGCTGAAAAATGCGGCACAATAAAAGAGATAACGTAAAACGTATCATATAGGGGCAGCTAATATTCGCTCGATTCGTTTGCTAATTTTTTGAATTGTCGCGCATTTGATTACGTCACAGTTCGATCTAAACGCCTTTATACATGATTTAATACATGACGCGGAAAGTCGCGCTACGTTGCAACAATTTTGTATTCCGCGTCTCAGAGTCATGAATGTTCCAGCAAAGTTATAGAAAATTAAAAAATGGCCCAATTAAAATTTCAGCTACGTTTTTAAAACGTTGGCGGTTCTATCGCGGTGTAGTTCCAGTAATTTTCCTTGACATTTTCATAGTGGATATGATTTGCTTTACAAAAGGTTCCATTGAAGTTTCCGTAACCGTCTCAGAAATTTTTATCGAAAATATGTCTTAATGGACTGCAGGTTGTAGCGAAGTTTCTGACGCGTTTGCATATCGTCACCGTGGGGTAGAAAGGTATCTCTTTAAACTCAGAGACAAGAAGATGTCAAGTTCCTATCTTATAATGTGGGACTTGGATACCTTTTTACCTTCAAGTTTGAAGAGATATATTATTACTTCAGGGAGACGATATAACATGCCATAAGATCTTCCCCGAATTTCCCGCAACTTTTCTATAAACTTATTTACTTGAGGAGATGACGAAGTCAAAAATAAAATGTTCTACTGCATAATTGTTCACAAATGAATCATCGACTCGCTAGAAACGTCGCTACAAGTTATTTCGTTACTAATCGAGATTTCCGCGTTATCTCTAATTCGTGCAAATTGACGAGCCGAATGGAACCTTTTACGATTAGTCGCGTGCGTATTTTTCCGCTTATACATCGTTTATCGACGTAATAAACTCGAATTAAAGTATTCTTTATCGTGGCGTGCGCTAAATAGATTTTGACATTTTTCCCGAGCCGTGCAGAAAGTAACAGTTACTTCGCGCCGCGATAAAAACAAGTGTACTCCAACGACGCGCGCACATGGATGACTGAAACTCGTGCGAGAGACGTATAGAGTACGAGCGTACCTACGCATCGAAAAACTTGTTATTGAGCTAAGTCGTATTAAAGTAGTTGTTGACTTGGACAAGTGCACCGCGCGACAATATTTTCCAAAACACGATCGAGCGCCGAGGCGCATTAACCGAGAAACGATTTCGATAAAGCGTACAGTGATTTAGAGTCTACTTTTTTCTCTGCGCATATATTATGTTCTCTTGATCTATCTGGATTTTTGGTGGATGCGTCAATCGAATAAAAGCTAGATATAAGCTTCGTTTGCATCGAAGGGTGTGGCCTTCTTCTCGTGGTTCGACTTTTCCATTTTTAAAGAGTCGTCGATCATGCACAGCACTAATGCACAGCTGACCGCGAGCGCGCGCATTACGTTGCATAATTTCCAACTTGTCCGATTTCGCGTACAAAGCGAGTTTCGTTGCAGCAATGGTCTGCACACACTTGCACACAGCCGCACACGCTCACACTCGCGTGTATAATAATAAGGTAACAAAAAGACGAAAAAAGTGTCCATTTGGCAACGTCAAGCATTTTTCTCGGTAAACTTTATAATAGTTGTGCGGCGGCGCGTGTATAATATGTGCGAGTCACGACTCACGGCTGCGTATACCGGAAAATCGCGGGATGTACTATACATACGAGAGCTGCATGTTCGACATTCGTCATAACTTTGCCACTCGACTCGTCGAGTCCTCGCGGGAAAGGAAACAAAGCATGAGAAAAAAAAATGAACCAGTTCTGACTTTCACCTGTTAATTAATACGAGGATTACATCATAAACCACTGCGGTACGCGACCTTTATTATGCGCTCGTGCCAATTATAGCGCGATGGTCATCGTTTTTAGGTGAACGGACGATCGAGAACGTCTTTGTTAATTTCTTATTATAAAGCGTATGGAAAAAGCCGTCGACCCGTCAACCGCTTTATACGACTGATTGTACATTAGTCAAAGCTCGAGCAAGCGAGCGGAGCGAATCGCGCGACTTTTGGGAGAGGTAAATAGCTCCGTAGTATAGGCTTCTGTATAAAGAGATGCGCATAGTATACGTATGTTATACGTGAGAGATATACGTCGGTCGTGCGCGCGGGGGCTCGTCTCGTCACACTGAAGGCAGATTCTGGTGCGAGCGCCGTGAGTAATATAACCCACGCGCTTTAGCACGAGACTCACGGAGACGCGCCGTGAAAACATCATAATCAGGCGGCAGCGCGGTGAGGTTTCGCACCAGAATCTTCTTTCTGTGCATAACATAAGCAGCGCGGCACACGATTGGCCAATAAGCATGACTCGCTGTTCAGCTATATACATTTAAATTTGTACTTTTCCTCGCAATTCTCTCCCTCGCGTTCATCGCGAAATCTCGCGCCGTGCGTGCAATTTAATTTTATATATTTATACAGAGCTCGAGTTGTTTTTTTCTCGCCCTCTCTGGAACCCGCGAGAGCCGAGTAAGAGACCGGCCGTCGAACGCGTGCTATTACATGCTGCTGGCTGCAGCACTTGAAAATGATCGCATCGTCTCGCGATGCAATCGCTGCGCACTCGGCGCTCATGAGCTACAGCTTTAGACACGGAGAAAGAGAGACAGACGGGCAAAAAAAAAAGAGAGACCGAGGAGTGATAAACGTTACGTCGTTGTTTTGAAAGAGCAAATTCGTACGTTATTATAAGCGCTGGACACGTCTCGGCACGGCCGAGCGTCAGAAATCACAATCGCTGATCGGTTAATCCCCTACTCTCTCGGCAATTGCGCTGCTGCATAACGTATCGCAACGTGTGCGCGCCTGTATACATATATATTAATGTGCATCGGAGCGCCTTTCGCCTTCTATTCGCTGCGACTTTTCTTCGCTCTGCGCCGCTCACCGATGCGCAGTCCGCGCGCAAAAATTTTCAGCGGGCTTTTCAGGCCTCTACCTACAATCGAGAGCTGCGATGCATGTATTCGCACGTGCGAGGAAATTCGCGGTGCATCGTGTGCTTCCGCTGCTGCATGGACAAATGTTTCGTCGACTCGATTTTCTACGAGTTGCATTGTGTCCATAGGGAAACGATCTTTTTAGTCAGACTCGGACCGAGACGAGTGATAAGGAACGATTTTGATCCGATATAAGCACGCCTTTTTTTACGATAATTCCTCGAATTTTTTAAATTCCACTTTAGCTTCGACTAGCTACGAGTTTTTATACGAACATTCTTTTTGTGATGATACGTAAATTTGCATAGTACGACTGCAGATGATTCGAGAACAACTGAAATAGCATTCTATTGCTCCGAAATTTTTTGATTTAACCGTAACGTGTTCTTTGTCTTTTTGATTTTTTTTCATTCTTTGATAGTACACGGATAGCGACATAGTTTTATTCAATAAAATTCTCAATTTCTAGTCAAAGCGTGTACAAAAATCATTTATCCAGATTTTGATCGATAAAAATTAGCCTTTCAGTGTCGTAAAACTCTAACATTCGCGTTTCATGGTCGTAAAAATTAAACAATAACGATAAGTACAACAAAGAAAGAATAAACATTTTATAAGATGAAATAGTTAGCGATATACTTATACAGTGTGGGTTTAATCGGTGCTGAAAGTCATCGACTATATATATAATGAGTAGTCGTTGAATAGGTGCGGCGGTGTGGCGGCGGCCGAGCAATTCCATTGTAAAACCAGCCAATAGGCAAGCCTCGTTGATCGTACGATTCGTAGAGCCCCTCGTATGCCATATACATTAACGTCGTTGGCTCTATGTGTGGTGCCTGAATAGGTTTTGACAGTAAGTCCATCCACTCCCTACTACTTTTCCAGAGAGCCGAGAGAGCTCCCGATCCGAACACGAGCCTTTGTGTGTTCGTGTGTTCCAGTGTGGTACTATGTAGTAGGCTATATACACACACATACACACACACGACACACGCTCGCCCAGCTGAGAATTGACGTTTAGCGTCGTCAGCATCTCGCGCTCGCGTGTGAGTCGACGGCGCATATAGCAGCCAGCAGTACGCTGACAGCTGGCTCACGGCGAGCATCGAGTCTGACTTCGACGCTGCCGTCGTCGTTGCAGTGCCACCGTTCACCGTTGTTCTCTGAAAAATCTCTGCGTTTTAGAAATAAATACATACCTGTATACGCCTAATGTAGGAGCGAACGCAACTAGCGCGACGCTACCTTCTTCGTTCGCATGATAAACAATCAAAGTTTGACAGTTTTAACCATCGATTCCCCCGGACGTGCGCGAGTGTGCGTCGAGAAATTATATATATCCCGCGGCCAATATACACACGCGCGTAGCACCGCTTTCTCTTTAGAATATAAATAAAGGTAAATTCATGTCATCAGACAGCGTAAGTTGAAAGTTCTGCGAAACAAATCGATTCGCTGCGTCAGCCGCGTGCTCGTTGCGGACTTGGCCTAGAGTGTCATTCGGTGTCGGTGCGGTAGTGTGTTGAAGAAATTCGTCGCTGTTCGATCCATACACGGCCTCACCCTGGCGTCGCTCGCTGACACGGGGGTCGCGGCCTGGCTCGTGGGCAGTTTCTGGCGCGCCCATGCCCAACTGCCCCAGCCGCTGGCGCCGCTCGTCAACAAGATCCTCTACCAGGCCAACTCCGTACTGTCGCTCATCAAGCCCGAGCTGTCGTACGCTCTGACGCTGGCCAACGATCAGTTTCGCCAGCAGCAGGAGCAACAGCTGATGATCACCGATGGCCAAGAGCTGCAGCAACGGAGCAGCAACGAGATCGCGATCGTGGACGACAAGCCATCGCACGATTTGCACGACGAGATTCATTTTTCAACGGTGAGTGTCATCTCAAAGTGCCGGAGAAGCGAAAAAAACGCGATTGCTTTTCTCAAATTTTTCGCCTTGATAGTGGCACGTGTTTCCCCGCATTGTGAATAACGCGAAACATTGATTTGTATCGTCATATACGTACTGCACATACATTTATTAGTCCACTTGTATATAATGTAAACTTTCATAAATGTATAATATTATATGTCGACTATACGTATGAGAATATATTTGCGATTGCAATTTGCTCAAGTTCAAGGTCGCACGCGAAGAAGCGCTCGGACGCTCGTTGCAAAGAAATAAACAGCATTTAGGAGCAATCGGTCATTTGCGCGCGGCTCACGAATGACACACGCACGCGGATGATTAAATCATTTCGTTGTTTTTTTTTCACGATCGTGCGCGCACAGCACACGTCAAACGAGTACTATATATTATGATGTGCCCGGTAATTCGATGTGCCGCGATCGCTTTGAAAAACTCCAATGCACCGCATTGAATTTGCGATTCCCAAACCTTCGAGAAAAATCTTTTCTAAATTGGCTCTTTGATTGCTCTTTCTTTTTTGTCGCGCTCCGAGTTGATCATTATATTTTTTGAATGTGTGTCACCTTCACTATTTTAATATTCCATTAGCTCGGACTGTCGATTTCCGAAAAAAAAATCTTCTCGTGTTGCGTTCGATTCGCAACTTAGTTGCATTTGAATTTTGAATGCACAATTCGTTTAGACATTCGTCTATAAATATTGCATACATATTTATAACTTTTACTGATTAAGCAAATAAACTTTCATATTCAAAGATAAACACTTTTTTGCTTCATTCACTTAAAAGTGGATAAGAATAATCATGAGTTTCTATCTCTTATATGATTCATTTTGTTTTGATTTTGTTGGAATCAATGACTGATTGTTTAATCATAATAATTGAAACTTGAATATTGTTTTCAGCCTGAACTGATCACAAAACATGGCTATATTGCTGAAACTCATCATGCATGGACTGAAGATGGATATAGATTGGAATTGCATCGAGTTGTAAGGAAAGCAATATATGAAGATGTAAATGATGATTTAAATGTGAAAAAAGAACAAAAAGTTAAAATACCAATACTCATCAACCATGGACTATTATCAAGCTCTGCAGACTGGGTGTTACTTGGACCACGTAAAGCCTTAGGTATTTATTATGCACTGCATTAATTTCCAAAAAACAAGTTTAAATTATTCATCAATTCAATTAAGTTTTTCCATAGTAAATATAAACATTTTTTTCAACTTTTTTCAGCTTACTTGTTATGTGATTGTGGGTATGATGTATGGTTAGCTAATGTAAGAGGAAACACATATTCACAATGCCACAAACAATATACAACAAAAGATAGAGAATTTTGGAACTTCAGGTAATGTGATTACATCTTTTTTCAAGTTAAAAATTTATCTTAATACATTTTTTGCTAACAGTAAATTTCTCTTTACAGTTGGCATGAAATTGGAGTTTATGATATACCTGCTATGATAGACTACATTCTTGAAAAGACTCAACAAACAAGTTTACATTACATTGGTTATAGTCAAGGAACATCTACTTTCTTTGTGATGAGCAGTGAAAGACCAGAATATGTAAAAAAAATTAAATCACTTGTCAACTTAGCTCCGATAGCATTTATTTCTAATCATAAGAGTCCTTTATTAAAACTTGTAACACGTCTCTATGTTATCATGGAAGTAAGTATTGATTGTACAAATTTTAATGTAGTGTCTGAATTTTTTTAACTTTTGTTCTTTGTTCTATTATGTTTAGTGGGGTTCCATGTATTGCAATATTCATGAGTGGTTTCCACGCAACAAATTACAAGCCAAAGCATTACGAACATTAATTAGAAATACACCAGGAACAGTTACAAAAAGCCTTTACAGTTGTTGGTTTTGTTTGATTGCTGGATTTGGTAGCAATCAATTAGACAAATCCATGTTACCTCTTATATTTAGTCATTTTCCTGGAGGTTCTTCTGCAAAACAAATAATTCACTACAGTCAGACAATACTCACTGGTAATTTTATTTATGAATTCATTATTTTTAATGAAAAATTTGATTTTAATTTTATTTGAATCTAATTTTCTTCATTTTCTTGTTTATTAGACTCTTTCCGAAAATTTGATCATGGAACTGCGATAAACTTGAAGCTGTATGGAAGCACACGACCACCTAAGTACTCCTTTGAACGAGCAACTTGTCCAACGGCGGTATTTTACAGTGAAAATGATTGTCTAACACAACCGGCAGATATTCAGAGGCTAGTTAATCTGTTACCAAATATTCAGTTGAAACATAAGATAGAGTACTCAAAGTTCAATCATATCGATTATTTGTGGGGTCGAGATGCTAAATTTTACCTATATGATCATATCATAAACTTCATTAAAAAATATGATTGAATAGTTTTTAAATATCAAAAATTATTGAGTTACGTATAAATTATTTATAAAATGTCTTCATTTGTAGTATTCTTTTATAAATTGAACAAATGCTTTATTTAGTTTAAATTTTAATTTTTATATAAGAAAGTAAAACTCGACCTTTAAGCCTAAAGAAATGTGCTTTAAAATTGTTATTTTTCAAGTTATGTGTAGAAGAGAATGTTTCCGTGCTATAATTTTTTTTCATTTTAGACTTCTGAGAGCAGCGACGTTTTCTATTTAAAAAAACGCAATTAAAATTAAATTGTTTACATATTAATAATTTGAAAGATATAGTATAGATATTTGAAAAAACGTAAATTTAAAGCTACTAGTTGAATTTACGGAGTTAGAAAAGTATGTACATGTCCTAAAAGGACAAGCTAAGATAAATGCTTACTTTGTACCTATTAGGTATAATTATAGAATAGGAATCAGTATTATAAAGCATGTTAACAAAAGCGACTGATAATAAATGTCAGCTCGTTACAAACTAATAAAATTGGTTTGAATCTCTGTTCAATTAGTGGCAACAGAGAGAACGAGTCTATCGTTTTGACTCTGTGATACAAATCTACGTGAATAATATGTATGTGGAGAGCGAAGCAAAGAGAAGTGAAGTCGCGGAAATGTTCGATTTAAGTCGTCTGATTTCGTAGTTAAAACTATACGCTTATAAGCTAAAAATATGATGAAATCTGATATTAATTTTAATAGTAATGAAATGAATATTTTTTACTGCGAACTGACATGAATATCGACCTTTGTTGAGGTATAAAGCTAAGCTTTACTATGTCCAAAAAGTTGATTGGTGCAATGAAGATTAGTGCTTACTGTAAAATATAAGATAAAAATTAACGTTATAAAAACAATCTACTTTGGAGTGCTTTTACTATAACATTAAATTAATGATTTATAAACTGTACCTGTATGTGATACATCTGAGCTAATGATAATGATAGGAACTAGAAAATGTACAGTAAAAGTTGTTTATAAATTAAATATCATATGTTATGAAATTATGAAAACTGTATAAAATAGTTTTTTTTTTTTATAAATAAAAGCGAAATTCGTTGTAAAGAAATATGAGTTATTTTTCGGTGTTTTACAATCATTACAATTTGCTCTGTAGGAAAAACCAATTGTTCAAGATATTCTTTACTAGCTCACACTGAGAAACAATTAAATTTATGCAAACATAAATTATCAAATCTTATCCAAGCTAATATAATTCTCTTAAATGTATAGTTTAGTGCAATTCTAGTCAAAACGCCAAAATTACATTTAAAGATTTACGGCATTTCCGAATGTGTTCGGCATACAATTAGTAAACTTCTTTTTTTTCGTGTGTTTTAAATATTATGAAGATTATTAGGTGCTAATCAGGTTTAGGGAATATTAGGTAATCTAGTAATTCTTTATTTCATTTATTAACGAATACTTTAAACTTCATTTCATGTCAACATTTGGAACTTTATGTTATAAAAGCTGTCATTTCATTTACCATTCGAGTGCGACTTTACCGACTCACGTCTTGATGACAAACAATTAAAGTAGCGTCGTAACCTTATAAAGGTGAACAAAGTTTGTTTACTTCTCACTCATAGTACTGTAACTCATCTACAGTACGAAATATAAACAGTGCCGATAACTTGTTTAAATGCAACATATATTCAACGCACAGTTTAAAACAATTTATATTTGGCGAAGTCAAATATCATCGAGTTTGAAGTATATTAATTCAAATTACTTTGTGTATTTACTAAGTAGAGCTTTTTCCAATAGCAATGGGTGATGAATATTTGAAAATTGATGGGAGTTTGGGTGAAGGTGGTGGTCAAGTATTAAGAGTAGCTTTATGTTTGAGTGCTTTGTATAAAATTCCCATTGAAATAGATAATATTAGAGCTGGACGTCCAAAGCCAGGATTATCTGCACAACATCTGAAGGGAGTAGAGCTAGTAACAAAAATGTGTAATGCAGAAGTCACTGGAGCTGAATTAGGTTCAACAAATTTAAAATTCAAACCTGGATCAATGCTGCATAAAAAGCACGAATTGACAGCTGATACAAAAACTGCAGGTTGCATTTGCTTACTCATACAAGTTGCTCTTCCTTGTGCTCTTTTTGCATCTAAAGCAGGTACATACATTCTCAAGGGTGGTACTAATGTCCCATTTGGTCCTCAAATTGAATATTTTAAGAATGTTTTTAGACCTTTACTGAAAAAATTTGGAGGATTTTTTGAACTTGATATATTGAGAAGAGGATATTACCCTCAAGGAGGAGGAGAAGTACACATGAGAGTAACTCCTGTTCGTAATCTCAAAGCTGTTCATTTGTTAGACCCAGGTATTCCAATTGATGTAAGAGGTTGGTCATTTGTCGCTGGTTCAGTCAATATAATTGAGGCACAAAAAATGACGAATGATGCAAAGACAAAAATTATTCAAGAATTAAAAAAATGTGACATTACTACACCACCTGTAGAAATTATAACATATAAAGAGCCTAGAAATAGTGCTGTAGGACACGGATCTGGTATCAATATTATGTGCAAAACATCACGAGATTGTGTATTTGGAGGATCTGGTCTTGGCTCTAAACAAAGAACCCCAACCCCTCCTGGGATCGAAGCTGCTAATCAATTATTGTATCCAATATTAGCAGATGCTTGTGTAGATGAGCATTTACAAGATCAGATGATTATATTAATGGTGCTTGCCAAAGGATTATCTAAAATAAGAATTGGCAAAAATGATCTCACTTGTCATGCAGCAACTGCAAAACAAGTTGCTGAAATTATGCTTGGAAGTAGAGGATTATTATTTACCATGAACCAAGATACTAATGGTTCTAATATTCTTGAGTGCAATGGCTTAGGATTACAAAATGAATTTCTTGACTAATATTAAAAAATTCACAATTATAAAAAATATTTGTTAATACATATTTTTATAAGTTTGTAAAAAAAATTATCAAATAAAATAGATAAAACAAATCCTTTATAATTATAAAGTGATATTATGCTTATTATTCCCGTTCTAAATTAACGTAGTTTAAATTTTAATCAAGAATATATTACAGTTTTGAATTTGAATTTATATTATCTTTTTTTCTTTTTTTTATCACTCATAACTTTTGTTTTAAAAATTTGCTTTCATGCCATATCGACATAGCGGAAATATAAGTTGAGTAAATTCCTAATTTTGATAATTCTATCATAATCTTATCGATATTCTAAAGCTTTTTTGGCAAAAATAATAGAAAATGGTAACTACAGAATAACTGGTAAATCATATTGAGCAAATGGGCTGTCAAAAAAATGAGAAAACGTTCCTGCCTTTGTTTACTTTTTTGATGTGAAACATCTATTTTATTGTATTGTAAGTTTTTAAAAAAGGACAAGTTATTATTTCGCCGATAGAACTATAAAATTTTTGTTCACGAAAGAGGTGAGTCGAAAAGAGTAAGGTGTGATCCACGTTATAAAGTTTAGCAAGAGTGCATTGCGATTGTTAAATCCACATTATTATTAGGATAAGGGCAAGGGCGTCATCGGTGCGATACACACCCTTTCTTGGATAGCAGAGTTACTGCATACTTTGATGCGAACGGCACGTACTGTACACATACACTGACAGGTGTGTTTCTGTTTATGTATACGCGCATACTTCGCAATGCTGCGGGAGTCAGCGCCGGGACTTTGGGAGAGTGCCGAGTGCCTACTGCCCGAGAGAGAGAAAGAGACAGATAGTCCGAACCAAGCGAAGTGGAGGAGGTGCCGCACACAGTTCACATTTTATGCGATCGCTGCCGCTGACGCTTTGTGGTGCTGCGGCTTTTCTGTTGTATGTTATTGTGTTGCAAAAGTTTTAGCGCAGCTGACAGCTATACAGCCGCCGCCGTTGCTCCGATCACTGCTCCGACCAGCAGACTTGACGCAGAGCTGAATATATCTAAGCCCCACATGAATTGTTATCAGAAGTAATAGGCATCGCGCAGCTGCTCTCGGATAGCAAATTTCCGCCACGCTCTTTGGTGCTTTTCGTACGTAGATTTGGTGGAGTGATATCATCGAGGACACGGGGGGCGATCTTTGCTCGAGTCTCGTTCTAGCGTTGAAGTGAGCTTACGCGAAAAACGTTCGACCGAACGCCACCATGGAGGACGACCTACCCACCGAGTACGATGTCATTGTCGTAGGCACAGGTGTGTGTTTTATTTTACGTATGCACAACTCGTCTTCTTTGAATGCAAGCACGTTTATATGAGTTGCCTTTGTCCTTTCCGCGCTTTACTTCGAACGAGAAATTGCCCATGGCGTAGCGATTTTTCGGACGACTTGCGATTGTATGTTTGGTGTATGCCATTGGGGATTATTAGAATGGAACGCGGAGTACACCTACCTCCTATTATACTCTCACCGCTTATCGATTATTTCCTCTTTTTCCTTCTTACACGATCGCCGTTGTTCTGCTGCATTGTTGTTTTTACGACAACTTTCACTTTTTTTATGATTTCCACTTGAACTTTTACTTGCACCTATTATGTGTCTTGTAAAAGTTGCGATTTTCGTATCTTTATTTTAGAGAAATTAGCATTATACTAAATTGCAGTCATTTACAATGATCCATATTTTTTACGTGTACTAAAAATATTCGTAACAACAGCTCTAAGAATGCTTCTAGAATTTTTTATTCATCTTTTAGTCATTTTTTTAAAAAGATAATTACTTTTGCAGGAATGACTGAATCAATTGTTGCTGCTGCAGCAAGCAGAATTGGTAAAAAGGTTTTACATCTTGACAGGTAAATTTTTTCCAATACCCTTTCATCTACACTGTTGAATAGTTTACTGGAAAAATAATACTTTTAGCAATGAATATTATGGAGGACTGTGGGCAACATTCAATTTTGATGGATTACAAAAATGGATGGAAGATTTAAAATCCGGAGCATCTGAAAATAAAGATTTTAAACCTGACCTACAAGATGGTGAACAATTTTTACAAGCCAGTAATCAGTATTCTACAATTGAAAATATTGTTGAAGATTGGTTCATTTCTAAGTAAGTAACTATTTCATAAGTTAAAAAATATAATTATTTTCAACCAAAACTTTGCGATTTGAATTTTTCAGTGATGAAGATCTGCCTGCAGTACTAGCAAAAGATACACAAACTGAAAGTTCTGAAGAACCATCTGTTGCTGAAAAAGTTGATGATGATAAAAGTGATAAAAAAGATACCAAACATTGGAGCATTGATCGCATTAAAAAGGAATACAGAAGATTTAATATTGATTTAGCTCCCAAGGTAATTGTGTAATATGAAAAAATTGTAAATCTTCAATCAATTACAGTAATTAATTCTTTGCAGCTCCTTTTTGCCAGAGGAGAACTTGTAGAGCTCCTTATATCAAGTAACATTGCTCGATATGCAGAGTTCCGTGCTGTATCTAGGGTCGCAACTTGTATGAATGGCAAGCTGACTCAGGTTCCTTGTTCACGAGCTGATGTATTTGCCAATAAAACAGTGAGTGTTATTGAAAAGAGAATGTTGATGCAGCTGCTCACTTCATGCATGGATCAAGGGGCTGACAGCCCTGAATTTGATGGTAAATAACATTTAATACCATGTACATCATCTTCTCTGTTAAATGCAATATATTAATAGTAAATGTATAACTATCTATATTAAAAATCCTATGAAAAATGATGATAATTGTATCAATCATTTTACATATTTATACTTGGTACTTACTGTTTGAACTGAATAAGTCATTTATAAAGCTATTCAATTCTTAATGATTCTGATTTATTTGTAGGATATCGTGATAAACCTTTTGTGGAATATTTGAACACGAAAAAATTAACACCAATAGTAAAACATTATGTTATGCAAGCTATTGCAATGGCTACTGATAAAACATCATGTCGAGATGGTGTCAACAATACAAAGCATTTTCTCAACAGCCTTGGCCGTTATGGCAATACCCCATTTTTGTGGCCTATGTATGGAAGTGGTGAACTGCCACAATGTTTCTGCAGGTAGATTTATAAGCGCACTTGATATATTTTTTCATGTTTAAATGGAGTATAATGTAAAAATTCTTTATTTAATAGATTGTGTGCTGTTTTTGGTGGAGTTTATTGTTTAAAACGTCATCTGGATGGCGTCGTGACCAGCGGAGACAAATGTAAAGCCATTTTAAGTGGAAAACAAAGACTCACTCTTGAGCATTTAGTAGTCGGCCAGGGTCACTTACCTCCTGAAATCGTAGCTTCTACGGGAGAAAATAAAATATCTCGTGGTATTTTTATAACTGACAGGTAAATGAATATTTTATGACTTTTTTGCATGTTACATTCACTTTTCAATAATTCTGTAATAACTTTTAGATCAATTATGAAAGGAGAAAAAGAAAACTTGACATTATTATATTATCCACCTGAAGAAGCTGGTCAAGAAGCAGTTACAATTATTGAGTTGGGACCTTTAACAAATGCTTGTCCTCAAGGACTATGTAAGAAACTATCATATTTACAAATGAATTATTTTTATTATTTATTAGTATTTTTTAATACCTTGAAAAAAATATAGTTATAGTTCACATGACCTGCAAGCGAACAAAAACAGCTAAAGAAGATTTAGCATATGTTGTAAAGAAGTTTTTGAAAGCTGAAAAACTTGAAAAAAATGTTTCACGTACACCAACTGATTCTCAAACTCAAACAAGTATTGCTGGTGGTGAATCAGTTTCTAAGGTAATTTAATAATTTTTGGTGTTATAAAATAAAGCAAAATTAGTATATTTATATGAATGATTATATTTTTAGGACATTGAATCAAAAAATCCTGATGATGAAAATTCCAGCAATACAATGCCACAAGTATTATGGTCACTATATCTCAATTTGCCAGCTAGTGATATTAAACTTTCGGAATCAGCTCCAAATAACATTCATCTTTGCTCTGGTCCAGACTTAAATTTAGATTTTGACTTTGCTGTTAACCAGGTAAATTTCCTTTTGATAAAAAGATTTTTTTGTAAAACTTAATTAATACTTAATTATTATTTTTAGGCAAAAGAAATATTTAAATCTATGTATCCGGACGAAGATTTTCTGCCGAGAGCTCCTGATCCAGAAGAAATTATTTTAGAGGGTGAAGAGGCACCAGGACCAAAATTTGAAGGTGATAATTCAAATGGTGAAAATGAAAAGCAAGATAATGAAAAAGCAGAAAAAGAAGAGTAATTGTGTGAATCACGTTTTAAGTATGTTTTTTTTTAATTTTTTATTCACAAATCTTTGTGTTTCACTAAATATTTGTTGGAAAAAGAAGAAAGTTTTTAATACATTTATACTGCATTTATATATTATAGCTTTTGTGATTTTATAGCAGCTGAAAATTGCATAAATTTAATGTATTTGAAATTTTTAAAGAAAACACGTTTTTTCATGTGCTGGCATAAATGTATATTCTCAAAGATCATTTATTGCACTACATCTAAGTGTTTTAGTATAAAAAATTAGCATTTGAGACCAATTCAATTTAAGTCATAATATCATTCAATTTTTCCTCATTCATTCAAATGTACATTTCACATTCACTGAAATTATGATTGGTGTTGTATAACCGCAATTTTTCCATTAAATTAAAAATAATCATTATTAAGACTGCAAAAAATCTATTTGATACAAATATTCTACAGAAAATGTAGAACAAGTAGGCTTATTTTAAAGAATTAATCAGTGTCAAAGCATAGTATTTGTTTTATGAAAAAAATTGATTTATGTAAATTTTCTAAATCAAACAAATATAATTAAATTTTAAATGTAATTAAGAAGTTACGAAAAAATTGTTTTTCCTGGCTTAACTAAACGATTAAAAATCCGAGGAAAAATTTTAAATCCATGGACATTGATCTTTTAGTATTTTTTCAAATTTCAATTGTACTCAAATGTACAACTCATAATATTTCATAGGCAAGAAACAATGTGCTTTCAATAAATAAAATGAAAATAATTCTGTAATTACAATTTATTACTCCATTGGTCAAGAAGATTTATACTCCAAGTACAGATGTTTGAGTCATCAGTTTTTGTTGAAATTATATTGTGTATCATTTATGTTCACAAGGAACTGAATGTTTCATTAATGATGTTTCAAAAACGTAATTGGCAAAGCAATCATTGCACTTGAATATGCATATACTCTCATGCTCATTTAATTTCTAAGATATTCTTGATTTTTTTCTGTGATTATTATCCATGTAGTATGCACAGTTTACTTTTATATGGATTTTGCGTGCATCGATATCTTTATTTAAATTTTATACCGATTGAAAGAAACATTTATATCTACGTTATATATGTTTTTATAAAAATTTTATTGGTTTTATTTATATTATTATTGATAATTTTCATTACAAAAAAATATTTTTTACTGCTTTTTTATTCAATAAAGGTAAATAAAAAAAATGTGAATCACTTTCTTTTACTTCGACTCGCCTTTTTGAAGTAAGCTTGAAGTATTGTTCTGAACATTTAGATATCATCGAAGTCTCGTGATTTCGTATCGCGAAGCCGCGTGGGAATGGCCTCACACGTGAAAGTAGCGCATGCATTAGGTATGCAATGAAACAATCCGATTCATTCATGCGGATATAAATCCACGCCCGATTTTACTTCGATAAATGCCTCGTTTAATCGGAGTTTGAACTTCAAAAGAATGTGTGAATAAAAACATAATAAAGCTTTTCACTGTATAAATTGAATATAATAATGAAGTATAATAAAGCACTAATGAAGATCTTCAAAATGTGAAGTCGGAGTTTCTAGTAAAAAAATTTGAACTTCATACTTCGATCGGGAAATTTGAGAATGACTCGCTACTTCCCCGCTGAAACGAATTCCGCCCATACATTTGGTGCCCCAGCTATGTATCATCGTTCCACTTATGTATCATTTGTTGACGTTTTATATATAGAACTCCGATTTCAAGTGCACGCGAGGCGTCGGAATACGTAATAGCATACGAGTATTTTTACATCATACGTTCGTAAGCGCTGAGAAGTGTGCAATGATAAGGAGGCCTACATCTTATGCGCATAATAAAGGTAAATATACAATGTGTATAGGTATATATGTAGGAACGTCAAACAATTGAGCATCCCCGTGTATATCATTGGGTTAAAAACATCGCTGTCCCCTTCACTTATTATATCATAAAATCATAACAGTTATATACGTTGCGGTCAACCTATATATGTTATACCTGTATAGATCCAAGCGTCATGTCTCTTACGCAAACCCATATGCAGTTAAATTCACCCATCCAAGTATATTTTGACCTCAAGTCGGTCTTCTCGGTACCAGTGTAAATTGCAGATCGCAGCCAGTGTATCCGTGCGTACCATCGGCGTATCCAGTATCATCATCGAACTCGCATACACATACAGACCGTAGGACTCGGTAAAAGGAGAGAAGGAGCAAAATCAAAAAAAGGCCAAAACGGAGCGATGTCAACAACCTCGGAAGGAACCCCCAAACGGCCCTACCGCTGCTGCATTTAGTTGCTACACACATATCGTATACCTTTACAGGAGCATTGCACAGTATATGTAGGTACACACCGGCAACCGGCCCAGAAAAGCCTAAATGCGTGCGTATACATCCGAGTTGGCTTTATACACATTATTATGATTATTGCCCTTGTTGTTATTATTATTATTGTTATGATTATACGTCGCGGGGCTATGCACCCCTCCTCGTTGAACATCATACCCATATACACGATGCATAGCTGCACAGCAGCAGCAGCAGCAGCAGACGTGCGTAGCAAAGAAGGAACATAATGTGTATAGTCCATCGCAATGTTTTACCCCTATGTAGAGAGTGTGGCGCGCAGCGAACGAACGAGCGAGAAAAAGCGAGCGCGAGAGAGGTGAGGGGCGATCGGCGCTCCATTGGCCCATTTAAAGGCAGACGCCCCGTCTCATTGGCCGAGGATTCAAAATGTAACCGCAACGGACAGCTGCGAGTCGTCTGTGCATTTTCAAAGGGCATATACATATATAAAGCACACACACATATGCGTGCAACGCGCGGGGCGCGCGCGGGCTCACACAGCAGTTTAACAGTCAAACTGTGAAGTAAGGACGGGCCGCTGCTGCAGCACGGGGCCAACTGTCGCCGCGGGAATTGCGCCGTTTCCAGTCGTCGTCGTATACATCGTCCGGTTAACATATAGCATTTAACTTATTGTAAAATATAGTTTTATATAGATAAAAACGCGCGCGCGTGACGACGGAGCAGAGAGGACTCGTCGAGGAAGCCACTATATACGTTATAAAAAGATTGTGCTGCTGCTGCTGCTGCTGCTGCTACTGCTATCGCTGCTGTGTAGTCAGTGTGTCATCTCGCAGGGCTGCCTCTCATCATCGTTGTGTTGTGTGTGTGTACATAATATATAATTCGTGTGCTGCCTGTAGTATCGTCATCGTCAACGTCGACGCCGTTTATTTAGAGTTCGTTGATGTCGTTGTGCCGCAACAAGGATTCATCCGCGATAAATATACCCATGTATCAGTCCTCTGAAAGATCGTCCCTCGTCTATTTCAGAGACACTTTAACCTAGATTTTTAATACATACGAGCGCGCCTGTTTACCCTCGTCATGATACGTTATTGAGCACGTCAAACTTTTTGGACGCAGACTCTCGCTCGCTACACTTTCAATATTCTTCTCTCTCTCTCTCTCTTTTTCGCTCTCGCTCTCGCTTTGTCGCACATTCTCGCGTAGCATGTGTGAGTACCAGACGAGAGCCTGTTGAACTATAGCAAAATCGTGCTGTTGCTGCTGCTACTGCTACTGCTGTGCCAGTCTGTCGTGCGTGTATAATCTTCTCGCGGCCTCTCTGCTCTCGCTCCGAAGTCAGCATCACGGCGTGCGAGAGGGCCCGACCTGTTCCAGTATTAGAAAAACAACGTCGTTGGTCGCGCCTGCACCAAAAGTTGATCCTCTCCTTTATCGGTACTCCGGCACACACACACACACACCTACCCACTCAACACAGACGCGCGCGCACACACACGCACGCATCGACCGACCAACAAGCTGGACAGATAGGCACGAAAAAATAAACATTCATAACAATATCCAACTACAGCAATGGCAACCACGAATGCGATGCGGCTGCACGAAGACCAGGAAAACCGCAGGATCCAGGGTGTCAACAAAGAGAACAACAAGCCTCATCAACAACAACAGCCCCAGCTGAAGCAACGTGCCGTGCTCGGTGTGCTCTCCAACAACTTCGTGCGGAATGGCAAGCCTACAGCGGTGAGTAAACGAGCTCGAGAGTCCTCGATGAAAGGCAACGTTTAGCGGGTTTAGTTTCAGTGACCTATCTACTTTTGGCCTCCGCGTACCTTGCTTGTATTAGCCCGAGAATAGACTTCTCCCATTAACCGCGATACTAACAGATATATTACATTTCTTTTCCCTGCTTATCTGTTTATTGATTGTCGAACTGGCATCGGCGATTACGCCAGAGATATACGGCCTCTATACAGCCACTGTGTATCTTGTCTTGTCTGGTAGTCTTCATCGAGTCGGCAAGTTTGCGACACAATAGTTTCGTCGAAAAGACGGTTGCTTAAATACGCGGAGCGCCCGTGTTTCGCACATTACACGTTTCACGTTGGGCACTGTGTGAAACTCTTTTTTTCGTCGCGAGTGCAACAATGATTAGGCCCGCGGCAAGCTACAAGCGAGTCGAGTCATGATACGGATCGCGGACTCTTGCCTGGCGAACGCGACCGGGAAAATCGAGGGGCATTTTATGTGACATATCGGGTAAACCACCATAACATCGTAATCCGGAGACTCGTCTGCCAAAATTATCTCGCTAATTCGGAGCTGCTTTTAAATCTTCGAACCAGCGAGTAGCCATTTTGGAAAATGGACTATCTGGTAGTATTGGCTAACGAGTCATGGCATGTGACTGCCTCGAAAGAGAGAGACAAGAAAGATTTCAACAGCGCCGCTGGTAGTGGTAGTGGTGGTGGTGGTGTTGTTGGTGGTAGTAGTGGTGGTTGTTGGACTAAGCAGGAGGTAAACACTAGTAATATATGCTGAAAGAGAAAAAAAGAGAGAAAAAGAATTGGCGCTACTTTTTTTCTCTCGATCAACGTTCGTAGGCTAGTTTATTAGTTCGTTTATTCGCAAAAAAAAAACTAAAATTAATTTATCTCGTAATGACGCTCACTCGCATATAAATATGTACGCATCGTACTTGACTCGACATTTTCATGCAGACAGGCATCCGCGTAGACACGTAAGAAGTCTAAACTCTAAACTATTTCGGAGCGCAGATGATACGAAAGAAATTCGATATAGCTCGCTGGGAGCGCGAGGATATGCACACGCTCGTGCACGTATTATACATGTGCAGCGCGTCGCGACCGTTGAGGATTCAAAAATGATGTGTCGCGCTCTTCGTCGAATCAACGCACGAGAGTCAATTCTATTTATAAACGCATAGATAATGTAACTAATCGGTAGAAAATCCTGGAGAAAAAAAGTGCGTCTGCTTCGCGAGACTCTCTTTTAGGGAACATGCTGAAATTGAAATTTTCTAACTGGTTAATGATTACGTATTCCCCCTCATGCGCAATATTTACGCGAGCCGTGAGAAACTGCCAAAGCTTGGAGGGAACAACTCCCCTCGGCCTGTCGTCGGTGTGAAACTCCTGTACTTTTACGCGCGAAGAACGATGCTTTTCTACCTCCTTCAATAGAATTACGTAGACCAGGTGTTATCAATTTTTTTTTTTTCGTAGCGTCAGATTATTTTTTTCATCACCTCGTTATAATTAAATGAGTATACTAATGCTGAAATTTTTACGTCATTATTATCGGTTTGCCGTTGCGCAATTAAGAAAGTTTTTGGATTTCACGCAATCGAGTTCAACGTCTTGCTCATAATTAGAAAGCAAAATGTGACTTATGATTTTTTTTTGTAGGACAAAGATGAAAAACCATTTGGAAAATCAAAAGCACCCAGTGTGTCCGCATATTCTGAACCTTTTCAAGTTTACACTGAACCCTATCAAGCTTATGTGGAAAAGAAGGAAGAACCAGCATTTGAAATATATGATGACACACAGCAAAATGAAGTCACTGAAATAAATACTGATAAACAAGATCTTGAAGACGATGAAGAGCTTGTTGTTCTGAAAGCAACTGAACCAACTGTCAAAGTTCTCCAAAGAGAAGGATTTGGGTGTTACAAACAATCTTCCATACAAGATGTTGTACAAGAATTTCGACCCGCTATTCAAGAAATTGAAGAATCGCAAGGAAATGCATTTGTACAAAAAGATACTCCAATGTCAGTGAGTTCAGAATGCTCAACAGACAAGAAAGAAAAATCAAGTAACAGTAACTTTTACGATGTTGATGAATACAGGGCTGATATTTATCAATATTTCCGGGATGTTGAAGTAAATTTATTTTTTACTTTGATTCTCAGAAAAAAATAATATTCTTAATAATGTGTAAATTTTTATTAGGTTCTACATAGGCCAAAACCTGGTTACATGAAAAAACAACCTGATATTAATCATTCGATGCGAACAATTCTAGTTGATTGGCTTGTAGAAGTTTCTGAAGAATATCGTTTACATACAGAAACATTGTACTTGGCTGTCTCCTATATAGATAGATTCTTATCATACATGAGTGTTGTTAGAGCCAAATTACAACTTGTTGGCACAGCTGCATTGTTTATTGCTGCGTAAGTTTGCTAAATCTTTATGTTTAAGCAGTTGAAATTTGCATCAATTAATAGAAATAATTTTCTCCAGCAAATATGAAGAAATATATCCCCCTGAAGTAACGGAATTTGTATACATCACTGATGATACTTACACTAAAAAGCAAGTATTAAGAATGGAGCATTTAATTTTAAGAGTATTGTCATTTGATTTGACAGTACCTACTCCTCTGGCATTTTTAATGGACTATTGTTTAAGCAATAATCTTTCTGATAAAGTTCAACACCTAGCAATGGTGAGATATAAAATTTTTTGCTTTATTGCTGTTATATATTTCAATGTTAACTTGATAATTTCTTTTATAGTACATTTGTGAATTGTCCTTACTGGACGCTGATCCATTCCTTCAGTTTGTACCCAGTCATTTAGCAGCAGCATCAATTGCTTTGGCAAGACACACTATGCGCCAAGAAATTTGGCCTCATGAACTTCAGTTATCAACAGGCTATGAATTAGATGAATTGAAACGTTGTATCAGATTTCTTCATACTTCATTCAAAACGGCCCCGCATCGGCCACAAACAGCCATTCAAGAAAAATATAAACATGCCAAGTCAGTATATTTCTATTTTTTTACTAGGTTACATTATTATTTTTATTTGAGTATGATAATTCAATGGCAAATCTTAAATTATATTTCAGGTATGGACACGTATCTATGATATTGCCGAGAAATACTGAGCCATTTGATTGGGAAGATTCTGAAAGTGCCTAAGTCTAGTATGTAATTAAAATTGGAATAGTCTACTTGTAATTTCATCGATCGTAGTGATGATAACGAACCTCCACTGAAAAAAGTCAAGAGTTCGTGCCAGATTTATTATAGGAGGGGATCCAGGGAAGACTGAAAAACTATTCCTATTTTACTTGAAACATGGTGCAGAATTCTTAGCACAATTTTAGTAATCAAAGTCGATCATTGCAAAAGAGTAATAACATATTAGATCGATTTTTATTTATGGAATTCTCTCTAAATAAGACTAAGGTGTGAGTGTAGTTGTCAGAACAAATTTTAAATCTTATACAGGGCTTCATCATTACATTAACGAGAGAAGCTCGTTTGTGTAACTCAGATTGAAATTTGTTGGATTTTTTCATGGTTACGACTTTTTACTACATATGGTTAAAGTCGAATTATTTTAGGTTGATATTAATACTCAAACATTCAAAATTAGTGCCCAGTAAATTTTTTAGCTTATTTTGACAAGCATTAAGATAGAACAAAATGTATGTTTTGTATTTGTACATGACAGTCGAGATTTTTGTGAAGTATTTTAAAGTTTTTGTGATAAAAATATGTCAGATATTATCCAAAAAACTAATTTGAATATCTAAAAAGTTTTATCAATTGACTCAAAATTTCACTTAAAATCCATGGAGAGTTTCACATTCTCTAAATTTTATATGTATTTTCAAACTCAAATTTTGTAGATTTTCAGTATGCCGAATGTAACTGAAATTTAATGTACTTCCAGTCAAATCGAATCGTTTTATTGATTAATAAGATGCATTTCAACTGCATAATTTGATATGAAAATTATACAATTAGTAATTTTGTATGTAGATTATCTTGTAAAACGTAGAAAAATTTTACTCTTGAAGCCTGCAGTTAAAACTGAGATTTTTATTAGTAATGAACTGCTTGCATTGAGTTATGTTGCAATCACAAGAAATTTGTAACGATTATTTTTAGGACACTTGAACATTTTACTTTTGTGAAATTTGAATACTTAAATTATTTATAAGATACCCTTGATTATTATATGCCATTTCTTTCTTTTGTTGATACTTTTTGTAATATTTTATATGAAATGCCATCTTAATGAATTTAAACATATGGATATGATATGAATAAACATATCTTTAAACTTTATGTTCATTAAGGAACTTACTGTTTACAGTCATATTGCTATAGCCATCAGTAGATAGTATGTGATTCATTTTTATTTTTATACATACAAATCTTAATCTTACTATCTCGCGTATTAATATTTTTTATTATTAAATAGGTCTTTTATAGTCCTGTAAACTTGTAAGTTTTGAGACGTGCCTGAAAAATTGTATAAATGAACGGTATCTGTTGAGTCTAACTGAAATCGCATGAATGTTTTTTTACTATGTAAGTATAAATTTGAATCTTAAAATCAATAAAAAATTTACGAACGACAGACTTCCCTTCGTTTATTAGTTGATTAAATAAGGATTTGTAATCTATTATAGAAGGGAATCACGTTTTAAAATAAAGTTAATGTAAGTGACGTTTGTTTGAAAAATTGAGAAAAAATTGTGTATACCAAAGTCTGTCCCGACGAAATATAATGAACTATTTCATTGGAATTTGGAAATAAGTTAATTTTTTTGTTAACGTTCAAAACCCTTCACACTTTAACAATAAGTTATGTTTTACTATTATCATGTATCAATTTTACGTACACTTGTAACATAGAGAAGAGTGCCTAGCGCTTCATTTAACAAATTAGCCAGTGCGAAGTAGCAACTTATTATGGTCGTCCAGCGAAAAAGCGATTTGCTTCTACAGGAACTTGTTTCTACATTCATTTATAATCTATTATAGATACTGTGTTAGGAAACAATTTTTAGATCAGACCAATATTTTTATGGACTATTGACAATTACTCACACATTGTCTACATTAATAGAATTTTCAGACAAACTAAAATGGTGTTCTTCATTGAAATAAAAGATTAAAACTAATTTAACAGTGATGCAGCACTGTTTTAGATGAAATTATTTATTCAAAATTACTATTTTTGCTTTGCTCATTTCAATAATATAATAGAAATCAGTTTTCAATTATTTTTGAAAACTGATTTTCAAATTTAAAATCAGTGTTTCAAATTAAAAATTTAAAACTAGTATACAAAAGTGAAAAAATATTTTAAAAAAAGCAATACAATTACGTGGCTATTGGTTAGCCATGAATGCCAAGACAGATGCTACTTCTTGGATTATTAATACTATGATTCTTTACACACATTCGCTTAATCAAAATTTCAACTGGTACATTGATAAATTTCAATTTGTATTGTCTATAATAAATTTTAGTTAAAATAATGAACATCAAAATAAATAGTGAAAGTAATTTCTAAAATCACGTGAGAAATTTATTATAGCTGTTAGTAGAACTATAATTATTATAATAATTGTTATATAGTTTTAATAACATTTATTGATTTCTTTATGAAATCATCTCAATTTTTCAATCACATAAAAAATAAACTCCAGGATAATCATCGAACTCGTTGCATAATATACTATCATCTTCATATCTACGAAACAATTGTTTTTTAGCTAATTTTTTATTTGATTTGAACTTCTTAGTACCCTTCTTTAATTCGTAGGAAGCTTCTGTACGAAGTGCATTTCTCACACGTTTCGCTTTTCTCAATTTAAAGCGATCATAATCGCTAAGGACAGCTCGCTGAAATTAATGATCCAAAAATTAATTTGTTAATTGAGAAGCTATAACGAGAGTGATTGAAATATTGATAAAACCTTTTCTTTGGCAGCTACTTTTTTGGCCCACACAGTGACTTGCCACTTTTTTTCAATTTTCTCCCTTTCCCAAGCCTTTCTTACCACTCGTGTAGGTCCAGTGAATAGGATCTTCAATCTAAATTTGGTGAGGTGCAAATCGTTCAAACACATTTGACCTCTTGGAATTTTAGCTGCTGGCCCATCAACTAAAACCTGTAAAAATCTCATTAATGCATACGGAACAAGAATAAATATTCAATTTTAAAATTGAATTTTAGAAAAAAAGCATCGTTAAGTATCAGCTGGCAATTCCTGTCAAGAATTTGGTATCATCATAATGCTGTGTTTTTGAATAAAATGATTACAATAATCGGTTACAGTTGTATCATAAAATCATAAAATTCTGCTCTTTCTGTTCTGGTCGATGACATCAACAATGCCAACAAGCTTGCCTTTGTTGGGCCCATTGCTAACATAGGCCACCCTGCCACTTTGAACAAATCGTTTGAAAGGCTGTTCAGACACAATCAAAACATTAATTATTCCCCAATATGTACTTTTATAATGATAATATGAATTAGTTGATATCGTGTGTACTGAATTAATACGTAATGAATGCAATTTGTATAATACACAAAAATAATGAAATAACAATTATTGAACCAACTAACAAGGAGAGCCTTTCATCTCCAGATCACCGATAGTTAGTTTGATCCAATGGGCCCTTCAACAACATTTTTAAGCATGACATAGTTTTTAATATTATTTAATGTTAATAAATACCATATAATAGCGTATTATGGTATCAGGTTAAAACAGTCAAGTCTAACTGACTGAAAAGTATTGGTACTTTAGCTTTTTTAAATCTTGAATACTTGTTTAAAAAATAAACACTCTGGTGCAATTGGTATACTGTATAAGTTTTAAAGACCGTAACTTTTTGAGCTAAAATTAACGAACTTTACGATAAATATTGATGCAAAAGATGTTAAAAAAAGTCTTTGATACATCATCATTGATGAGGTAATCTGACATTCAAAACATATGGAAATCACTTCAATTAAGAGTCAGAAATGGGTGAAAAATAAGGAACAGTGAGTTTAATGATATAAAGATTTTTTCCGTTTTTTGCATCAATATTTATAGCTAAATTCGTTAATTTTAGTTCAAAAAGTCATGCTATTTAAAACTTGCACAGTATATAAATTGGGCTTATTATTATTCAAAAACAGGAGCGCAAAAATTACCATTTTCCAAGTTGCTAAAAGAAAAAACAGTTATTTGTCATCTGTGACGACTGTTGAAAATGGCGTATTTTTCTGAAGGTAATTAGCTCCAAGTACAGTCACACTTCAAAAAACTTATGTTTCGCGCTTTAATGTACAACTGATGAAATTCTATCTGTTAAATAGATTTTTGCATCATTTGTTCTAAAAACTTAGGGTAAAACCAAACACCAGATTGATGTCGGTCACGAATTAAAATTAAAACATGCTTGTAAAAATACTTTCTTAGATAAATCAATTCAGCATATACTAAAATACAGCAAATACCAAATAGTAATTATTGTTAGTTTTCATGATTAATTAGACTTAGAACGTTAATAATCATTAAAATGTAAAAAATACAGTTTTACGTTATAGTGTCCAATAACTTGGCGAAAGTTAAAATTCTGAGTTTTAACCATCGGTCACTAACTAGTCGATAACTGCTAAGGTTTACTATTGAAATAGTAATGAATTAAAATAGTAACATACCCTTCAAGTCATCGACGTGAACATTATCGAGAACTCAATTTTAATCTACGTTTAATCACCGGATATAGGGCACATCGGGGACATATGCTTGAACAAAGGTTCTACCGATAAATGGGATGCTGATGTGCAATATAGCATTAATTTGAATTTAGGTGAAATCGTAAAATATTGACGGAGTTTGTGTATAAAAGGTGAGGAAAAGAGTTTTTTAAATTTCGTAGCATACTCCGATAATTGCAGAAGTCTTCATTGTGAACAAATGGTTTGTGACAACTCGAGGGCTTTAATACGATCATGTACCAATTTTATGTTTTAATTGAGATTACTCGTATCTCAAAATGATTTGTCACAGGTATACTTGAAGAAAAATGGCATACACTCGAAGGGTTTACTCCGATAATGTATACTTCATTTATGTATCTATTGAAGTCACTTATATGAAAAAATTAGTGTCAATTGTCACATTTAAAGGATTTGCTCCAATTATGCAGTATGTTTACTCGACGTTTGAGATAGCTTTGGCATTCAAATAAGGCAGTTAAATAAGCTATAGCTTTTGTCACAGAAAAAGCATTTGTACATTTATAATGAAGAACACAAATTTGATGCGTGTGAGCTCAATGATGGCTCACGATAATCTTTGGTTCAATATCTTCATCTTCACATTTTATGCAAAGCAATTGAGATAATTGGAAGAAGAGCAAGTTTGAATTTCTATTGTTCAAGTGCTAGGGTAGATACTGACGGTGTACTTCACAAACACAGGAATAGGTTCAAATACTTTAGGTCAGTAATTTTTCATATTCATTGGGAATATATTTCTATCATTGGTGACTTTTTCAATGACGAAAAATTAAAATAGATTCGATTGGGAAAATATCCATCTATCTGATAAAAATAAACGTTACCGTCGATAATAACACGAATTATTTTGCTTTTTGAATATAATGAAGCGTATCGCTAAATCTGAATAGACGATTCGGATAAAAAATGCAGCTATTCAGAGTAATTGAAAAATGTTTACCTTGTGGCGCGCAGTTATAACGACTCGTTGCATCGTAATAACATGGAAAAGTGTATGTAAGAATAAAAAAGGCCAGTTAGCAATCGTCGCTTATTATTATTATGCGAACGCTTCGTTGACGTATCGTATCAGATCCATTATTTTCCACGATAGTCTCGATAAACCAGATATTACGGTCGGACCCATTCATTATCTCGAGTCTCGTCGAGTTTTTGCGCGGTAATCGCGTGCGAGTCGCATGTACGCAAAAAATTGACCGGGTATCTTTGAATGTTTACCCTGAACACCATTTTCGAAAAATATAACTAGGATTTTACTGTGAAATAGATAAAAAAATTAATCTAGCGAAGAACTATGTCGTTGTCTTGGACGCTTATCGTTATCGGAATTTTCACGAGTTTGGTTGGTGCCCACGAAATCACCGAATCGATTGCTCACCTCGTTGTGGACACCATTGCCGCCTTCTTATTTCCTGCCACGACTCTTAGTACCATAATGTGTGCTAAAACAGGTATACGACTCGTGAGGAAATAACATAACTTAAAATTACTTTAAATTTTCGAATTCAGACTGTAGTGTTCATGTGTATATTGATAGTTTAATGCGAAAAGTCGATCAGTGCGTAGGTCGGTACTGATGCGAAATTATATATTTTTCGAGCTTGTAAAGTAAACTAGGCATTATTGATTTTCGCATGCAGAGAAAAACATTTCAATCACAAATAGCACAATCTAATAACATAAGTAAATCTTATCCATTGAAATTTTAGAGAACGCCGTTGTTTTATCCAAAATATTATCAAAAAATGGCATAGCTAATAATAGAGTGGAGTTTGACCGATTTTCCAATGAAATTGACAAATCTACGTGGCACAAATTGACGTTTTTCCTCGATTTGAATTGTTCAGAGGCATCAGACGTTTTGAAAAAAGTACGATCGACGAAGCGAGCTGTTCGTTTTAGCGTAACGCACACATGATGATGCATCGAGAAATTTTTGTCACGCAGGCAAACGATTCCGGACTCTTCTCCGGACCCATCAAGTGGTTAATCTTTCGAGACATAGGAAGCGAGGAGTACGACTTGTCCGAAATTTTCGGTGACTTGGGCGTTTTCGCCGACAGCGAGATCTTGATTCTCCAGAGGATATCGGACGATCGAGCGTCGATTTCGTCGCTTTACAGACCAAGCATGGCGCGAGGCATCAAGGTGGAGAGTCGCGGAAACTGGATAAGTGGCGAGGGAATTCGCGTGTACGATCGTCACGTCGCTTCGCTCAGACGTAGAGATCTGCAGAAGATCCAACTGAAGACGACGATTGTTGTAAGCCCGCTGCTTGCAATGATCCAGTGAATGAGATAAACTTTTGCTTTTTTGTTTTTTTTTTTCGTTAAAATCGATGAATGAAAAGGCGACTCTTGAAGATCTTTGTAATACACGATACGAATTGAATTTTGATCTTTGATAATTATTGAGTGTACAATTTTTAATTGCAATTATTTTAAAAATTACAGGAAAAATGCTCTCTGAATCAAAAGTTATTAATAAATCACTGGATAGAAAGTAAATGTAAAAATTTTTAATCACAGGAAAAATGCTCTCTGAATCAAAAGTTATTAATAAATCACTGGATAGAAAGTAAATGTAAAAATTTTTAATCACGCTTTTTTATGAAGCTTTAAAAAAAATTTTCAGTTACCGTGTTAGAAAAAACCGTTGAAGCATTTTTGATAATTTGAATGATATGATCTTGTGAAATAAATGAAACTGAATATAACCTCGAGACAAAGTTCTTCTGTAAAAAAGCATTGAGAAAAGACTCGCGTTTTTATACACTTATTCTTTTTAAAATTTTACTTTGTAATGCGAGCACAGGTAACGAATCCCGACACGCTGAATCATTTGACGGATTATCGTGACGTACACGTGGACACGATCACCAAGTCGAATTACTTCTGGCTCAATCATCTCGCTTCGGCTATGAACGCTACGTAAGCGCACCCAGTGTTTATTAATACATAAATATCATATTCGGGTTTACGTCAATGCAATCGTTTCTATACACACAGGCTGGCTTATAATGTGGTAAACAGCTGGGGCTACCGCGACAAGAGCAACGGCTCTTGGAGCGGCATGATGGGCCACTTGAGCCGCAAAGAGATCGACATTGGCGGCACCTGCATGTTTCTCACGGCCGACCGAATGGACAATGTCACGTACATACCCCTGGCCACGCCGACCAGGTAAAACAAAGCTTTCAACTCGTTTAATGTATTGCCGCGATGTGGCGACGAAGGCAATCTCGAAACGACAAAGTGCTTCAGAGTAAATCTCTTGACGTCGATGTTGTTTTATCTTTAACGAAATAGTCGGAGACGATCTCATTCGAAAAGTCATTTTTCCCTAGCGTAATTATGTTATACGCTTATTTTGATAAAATTAAATTTTCAATTTTTATGAAAGGAGCCACGTATCCTGTCCGTTATTTTCGAGTAAAAGATTGTCTCGCGCACAGGCTGGCTTTCATATTTCGTCAACCACCCCTGTCGTTCGTGAGCAACCTGTTCACTCTGCCGTTCCGTCGATCCGTCTGGATAGCCATTGGGATTTTGCTGTCGGTCATCGTGCTGATGCTGCTGCTGGCCTCTCGCTGGGAATGGTTGACCAAGCAGACGCACGCCAGCGAGCCGACCCTCAGCGACAATCTGCTGCTCGTGATCGGTGCTGTGGCTCAACAGGGTACACGAATAAATAAAATTGCTTCTCTCGCCTCTTCGTGCATAGTTACAATTTCGAGCGAGCCGAATCACGATCGCAGGTTTCGGATTCAATCCGCTCACCGTACCGTCGAGGATCGTCTTGTTGATGCTGCTGCTGGCGGTGCTGAATCTCTACGCCTCGTACACGGCCAACATAGTCGCCTTGCTGCAGTCCACCACCAATTCCATACAAACGCTCAGGGACCTACTGGAGAGCCCGATCAAATGCGGCGCTCAAGATATCGTCTACAATCGTCACTACTTCAAGGTTTACAATTGCGTCTTTGATAAAATGTATTCGATGAACAACCGTTTTTCGTTGAGCCCCTGAACAGTCCCCCTAAAAAATTATTGTTCATTGGTTCCCTCCCATAAACGAGCGTTGCTCATTGACTCCCGTTGGTATGAGTAGCTGGAAAGGGACCCGATCAGGCGGCGCATCATCGATCAGAAAATCGTCCCGAAGAGCGGCAAGTCCAACTGGATGACGGCCGAGGAGGGCATCGGTGAAGTGAGGCGGGGCTTCTTCGCCTTCTTCATGGAGATCGGGCCCGCTTACAGGATCATACAGGAGACGTTCGAGGAGGACGAGAAGTGCGGCTTCCGCGAGATGTACTTCATCGAGCACTTCGATCCCATGTTCACGGTGATCAAGCAGTCGCCTTATCTGGAGATCATCCGAGTCAAGTAAAACATGCATGCACGAATTGTATATTATGTAGTTTGGATTGTATTGTACGTTAAAGTACGACAAAGCGAGACGCGCACCATACACATATAATATACATACCATGAAATGCCACAGCGCCTTGAAAATCGAGGAGTCGGGCCTCAAGTCACGAGAGATGTCGAAATTTTACACGAAGCGACCACCCTGCAACGGGCGCAGCAAATTCATCAGCGTCGGCCTAAACGAGTGTTACTTTGCATTCTACACAATAGCCTGCGGTTTGCTTCTCGCTCTCGGTCTCCTTGTCCTCGAGTTGCTCTGGATGAAATGGTACGAGAATTACGTGCATAACAATAATATATTATGTCAAGCATGTGCTCGGAGGCCCCTCTCTGGTTTTTGCAGGGGATCGGTGCAGCGTAAAATCAGCGAGTGACACGACCCGACTGCTGAAATAATTCAGCATTGTAATTGACATTCTTGTCTATAAATTTCACGTCACGATTACGACTAAACGTGTAGAGAACATTTTTTTTTGTACCTCAAGTGCACCTGTTTTAACAAGAAGTATCACACATCTCGCGTGAGCATCTATCGTATCTTTTCGAGATGACGCGTGCGTGCGTTTGCCGTAAAGGCACGTGGCGAATCCGGAGTTTCAGGCTTCCGGAATACCTTGAATAACCCAATGCTCTCTCTCTCTCTCTCTCTCTCTTCTTTTTTGCCCTTGTTCTGTAAGCAGGCTGAATCATAGTTGACTGCGTACGCGTGCAGTAATATGCGTCGCACGCGCGAGCTTAATCTCCCTCGCAGAATACGAGCGCAGCCGAGGCAGTAAAAGTCCGGCGAGCGGTGCAACTAAAAATACAATAAAAGACGATAAGAAACGTGGGTGAGAGAAGGGTGGGAGGGGGGAAGCTGCACGGGCACGCCACGAGCATGCCCCCTTGTAAAATTAGCATAGCATGGCAATTTAATCTTTTTTCCGCGTGCGCATACAGTCTCTTCTCTATATCAAACGTGGCCCATCTTTTTCATTGCGCTGCAAGCCAAGAGCGATCGCGAGAATCCATCTCTCGTCTTGGAAGTAATAACCGCGAGGAGCATACGTATGTATAAATCGGAGAAGTGAGACGCGTAGACGCCAAAGATGCTTCGGCTTGTGCTGCGAGCGAATTAGTCATTGTGTTTCATGTGTTCAAGGGTCATGTTCTTTTCTTTCTCTTTCATATTTGATCTTGACTCGACAATTGATTCAAGTGTATTTTCGCCTCGTATATGAGACATTTTTCCTACATTTTCCCTAATTTGAAATAATTTTTAATTAATATATTATTGAATTGGCTGACCTATAATACGCATATTTATCAAAAAATATACGCGCAGTTATACAAGCATTAACGTATAATTTAGCTATTACAAATTCCACATTCCCATTGAAAAATTGTAGATGTAATGCAGGAAAATGTAAGGATTAATATTTCAAAATTCATTTTTTATTGTTACAAGATTTATGATAATTAAAGGGATCATATTTAACTATGAATGTTCCATTGATAAATGTAGTATTGTATATTCGCAAGCGGCAATTTTTTTTAATAAGTACAAACATAACAAATTTTCGATACTAATTATTAACAAAATTAATTTTGTTTAAATTTTATCTCTTGATATTAGTGCAATTTTTGCACAATAGAATCCTATGCATAGGATCTGGTTGTAGTATATTCCACGTTTAAGGGTGGTCGCAATCCAATCCAGCATTTATCACTGTTAACAGACGCATCGGTGATCGTTTTAATTTAACATTAAAAAAGCATGTCATGAGCGATCGCAGTGTAGTTTTTCGCAATATAATATTGAAATCTGTCTCCAATACAATGTCGTCGTCATCGTCGTCATTTTTATGCGGCTAAAATTGTGGCGTAAAAAAAATATCATCACATCGCAAGTTTATAATACAGATATGAGTGTCAAGAGCATCGCTATAGGAAATTAAGGTAAAAGCCGAACGCTATACATACGTCGACGTATTATAATACTTGTATCGGTGCAGCTCACACGCGCGCGCGGGAGGGGGCCATTGTTTTGAGGATAGGGTCTCCCGTGGTAACCGGTTCCCGGCTCGCGCGCGCACAGTGCCGTCTGCCGAGCGGCAATTTTTTGTGCCTCTCTTTCTCTCATATTCAGGGTGGTCTTATTCGTCGTTGTCATGTACTTGGCGTATACACGTTAAATACACATAAATGTATGTATATGTATACGCGTACAAACTTGTGGACCTGTGCCGAAACGAGGGCCCTGGTTTTTCCCTCGCACCCGAGTAACCTAAACGAGCTATAAGCAGCAGCGTCATCGACATGTCGCTGTTCAAGACAAAAGAGTGGTGGAAAACCGAGTGCTCCAGTAGCAGTGGCAGCAACGACAATAATCAACAACAGCAGCAGCCGCAGCAGCAACATCAACGGGAGACGTTCGATGGCCAAAGTTTGCTACTGGTGCGTGGCTTGTTCGAGGCAGAGGCCGTCCACGATGTCATTGTCGTGGTCAGCCATGCCGGCTACCTGCGCATCTACGCACCCCACAACGAATGGGACGAGGAAGGCCAGGCGCCCGGCCCCTACAGATCGACTGATCTCGTGATCGAGGCCAAGCTCGCCGATTCCATACTCGACTGCAGGGATGGCCGATTCGTCTCGTGAGTCGATCCTTCTGTTATTGCGCTTTTTCACTTTAGTTCTTGTGTTTGTATAGCTTACACCCTGCACTTTTTATTGCGCGGACTTTTTTGGCGATAATTGTATTATACTCAAGTATACTATTCTAATTTAAATAGATAGTGTGACATGTAATGGCGGATATAATGGCACCCACTCAAATTTTCATTCGCCATTCACGGAATTCGCATGAAAGCTTTTCCTAATTTTGAAGAACTTTAGAAAATATTTTTTGATTCAAATTTAATCATTAAATGGTTTCCACGTTGGTTTTTTAAATAGAACATATTTTTATTACTGATCACGTTTTTCGTAGCAAAAATAATCAGTCTATAAGCAAATTTATCGAAGCCATCCATTAACGCGGGTTTGATCAATTCAGGGTTGCGTATCATTTCGCGAGGTTTTTCGAAAGTTCAGTAACCAACTGTCCCATTCATAGTTCAATCAAGATGTGAAAAAAAACTCTTAGCTGATCGTTGCATGAAGAGATACAGAAACAAATTAGACGAAAACTGCACGAAGAGTAGAAATTATAATGATAGTTGAACGCGCAGGTTCAGGTAATACACAAAAATTTCCATGCAATTTTTATGGAAATTTTCGAAAAATATATGTATGTATGGGTATCTATACATAATTACAATTGTCAATCATCATTTCTTTACACACTTGTCGCATACGTGATTTTTGCGATCCTCATGTACTGTATTTTGGTGCAAGTCCAAATTTCTTCTCGATCTATCGCATGCAAAATCTTTGCAACTTTCATGTACTGTCTTTAAGTGGGTTTGAAAATTTGATTTTAGTCCAAATTTTTGCTCGCACATGTCGCATGCGAAATCTTTACGACCTTCATGGACTGTCCTTTGGTGGATTAGCAAATGCGGTTTATGTCCAAACTTTTTCTCACATTTGCCACATGCGAAATCTTTACGACCTTCATGGACTGTTTTTTGGTGAAAAAGCATTGTCGATTTTTCCCCAAATTTCTTCTCGCACCTGTCACATGCATAATCTTTGCGACCTTCATGGACAGTTTTTTGGTGTTTGTTCAAATTACTTCGACCTCCGAATTTTTTCTCGCAATGATCACATACGAAATCTTTGCGACCTTCGTGTACTGTTTGTTGGTGAGTGAGCAAATTTTGTTTTTGTCCGAATTTCTTCCCGCAACAGTCGCGCATGCATAATCTTTGCGACCTTCATGGATTGTTTTTTGATGTGTGAGCAAATACGATTTTAACCCAAATTTACTCTCGCATTTGTCACATACGTAATCTTTGCGACCTTAGTGTACTGTCTTTCGGTGTTTCAACAAATCTAATTTTCGTCCAAATTTTTTCTCGCACACGTCACATGCGAAATCTTTCCGATCTTCGTGTACTGTCCTTTGGTGTCCGAGCAAAGTGGATTTTAATCCAAATTTTTTTTCACATTTGTCGCATTCAAAATCTTTTCGACCTTCGTGCACTGTCCTTTGGTGCTTCAACAAATCTGATTTTTGCCCAAATTTTTTTTCGCATTTGTCGCAAGCAAAATCTTTGTGACCGTAGTGTACTGTCCTTTGGTGTTTTAACAAATTTGATTTTTGTCCGAATTTCTTTTCACACGTGTCACATTCGAAATCTTTCCGACCTTCATGTACTGTTTTCATATGCAAAAACAAGCTCGATTTACGACCAAATTTCCACTCGCATTTTTTACATGCATAATCTTTGCGAATCTCGTGGAATATTTTTTGGTGTCTTAGCAATTCTTGTTTTCGCCCAAATTTCTTTTCGCAAATGTCACATGTGAAATCTTTGTTACCTTCGTGGACAGTTTTTTGGTGTTTTATTAAATTGCCTCGTTCTCCAAATTTTTTCTGGCATTGGTCACATGCGTAATCTTTCTCACCGTTATGGACTGTTTTGATATGCAGGAGTAATCTCCGTTTATTTACAAATTTTTTCCCGCAATTGTGACATAAGTAATCTTTTTGGAATTTGAAGGTGAAATCTTTCCCACCATTATGTACAGTCTTCAATTTAAAGAGAAAATGTGATTTTCTTCCAAATTTCTCCTCGCAATTGTCACCTGCAAAATCTTTATAACCATCGTGTACTGTCTTTATGTGCACGAGCAAACTATGTTTATTACCAAATCTCTTCGCACACTTTTCACATAAGTAAGTTTTGAAAACTTCGTGGAATATTCTTTTGTGCTTGAGTAAAGTTAATCTATTTTCAAATTTCCTCTTGCACTTTTTGCACGAGTAATCTTCGCGATTTTTGTGTACTAATTTTTGGTGCGTACATAAACTCGATTTTTTCACAAATTTTTTCTCGCACTGGTCACATGCAAAATCTTTGCGGTTTTTGTGTACCGATATTTGATGTCTACTCAAATGACTTCGGAACTCAAATTTTTTTTCGCACTCGTCGCATGCGAAATCTTTTTGTTCATTGTGAATCGTGTCTCGGTGTGTTAACATGTTTGATTCTAGTGTAAATTCCTCTTGACAAATATCACAAACGTATTTTTTGTCATCTGAAACTACAATGTCGAGTTCACTTGAGTTATCTTTCGAGACTAATTCCTCGGATTTCTTTTCACTTTTATCCATTTTGGTGCCTGAATTTAACGATGGATCAATCTATTAAGTGTCACGGAAATTGAATGAGTAAAATTTATCTTTTGGTATTACAGTTTGTTTCATCGAGAACAACAACGTTCAAACTAATTTATTTTTACTATGAACATGATCAGTGTTTAAGAGACGAAGTCAAAATCGTTTATGATTATATTGTTTACAAATAAGATACTGATTTATCTATTTGTAGGGTACTTATACCATTGATTGACCGCTTTCGACCAGTAAATTACTACTTTTGGATGTGCAATAACTATTGTTTTTCCTTGTTAAATTATGATCGAACATGGAAAACAAGATAGATCGTTCACTAAAGAATTAAATAACGTACATACAAATATATTTTTAATTGTTTTTCCTATGATATTTTCCAAAATGGTCATTTACTGGTACCCGGTCATTGATTGGTCTGACTACCCTGTATTTTCTTTACAATATTTAAATCAGTTTAAAATTTTAACTTAGCGAAGATTACTATGAGGAATTTTTTGACCTCCTGAAACTAAGTAAAAATAATAAGTCTGAGAAAAATTCATGAAATTGAGGGAATTGAAAAATTATGAAATGTTTTCGAATATTTTCTTCCCCTTTCCGGTGAATTTTCAAATTCCAACTTTTTTATTTTTTACTAAGATACAGCTGCTTCTGTGAGCCTTTTCTTATTTAGCATAATTAGAATGATTGAACCCGTAGTTATGATTATTTTTAGAATGACCAATATTATAAAATCATGCACCTGACAGCGTAAGATAACTGAAAAAATTTCTTTTTTTAACACTGCGTGCGCAAAACACGGGTTTTCTAACCTCCTAAGCGTCAGAAAACCCTAATTTCTCGCAAGCAGAGTTAAAAAATATCGTTTGCAACTAGTCCGCGAGGAAGTTGACTCACCCAGGAGTCTTTGCACCCTCGCTACGCTCGGGTGAAAACAACTCCTGGATGCATCAATTGCTTCGCACACTTGTTACAAAATATACTATATTACAACGTTTTCGAGTTGTTTGAAACAGCAAGATTTTGTCAAAAACAAAACGTGCCGTTTTCATGGAAAATATTAAAAAGCGATCTTAATATTTTTTGAAATTGCCCTAAATTTCCTCTTTTTACATAATCTGAACATACAGAAGTTTTAATTTTTCATACGCATGCAGTGGTTCTCAGGCTACGCATTTGGCCATTTTGACACCCACAAAATTAGTCGTTTACGCAGTGAGTCTTATAAAGGGCGCCATCGAACACGGTGAGTCAAATTGCAATCATAAAAATCACGAAACATTATTACTTATACTGTACACGAAAAAATGCAATGGTCTCTCTTGTAAGGTCCCTTAATCCTACTTCTACCTATAAACAATAGCATCTTTATTTTTATTTATCTTTATTTGTATAACTGCTAGTACACTGCATTGTTTATTAACAATAACTAATGGAGTTATATTTATTTATGCAATAGTATGACGAAAAATGTCTTTTTTCGCACATTTTTTAGTGCGCAAAAAGCGTTTTTGGACACTTGTGTGCGGTAAAATGTCCCATTTTGGACACGGGTGTGCGGTAAAACGCCTCATTTAAATGAACGTATTTTTCGCCTACTATTGCATAAAATTTTGTATGCAACACGTGCCCAGCTTTTTGCGCACAGTGTGCGCAAAAATCGCCCACTCGTGCCGGCATAGCCAGCACTCGTGTTTTTTTCCGCACACTCGGGCCCAAAAGCGCCTTTTGGGCACTTGTTACATAAATAACTATTATGCAATAGCGTGACGAAAAATGTCTTTTTTCGCACATTTTTTAGAGCACAAAAAGTATTTTTTGCTTACTATTGCATAAAATTTTGTATGCAACACGTGCCCAGCTTTTTGCGCACAGTGTGCGCAAAAACGCCTTTTGGGACCTTGTTACATAATAGTTATTTATGTAACAAGTGCCCAAAAGGTGTTTTTGGGCACGAGTGTGTGTTTTTTCCACACACTGTACAGTGTCTGGCAGTCTGGTATGTTTTTTAAGGTCATTTTGGAGGCAGTACAATTAGAAAAAAAGCCCTTACTTGTACTTAATTTTAGGTTAAATTGGGGTTTTATTTGCGTCTATAACGCCCTTAAAATGACCTTGAAAAAAAAAACAAAATACATGTTTCAACGTAAAATTTTGTGCTCTTTTCAAATCTGCAATAAAAAATGGGGGTTCCATTTGAAAAATCGATTTTTGGGTCGCTGGAGCTTGAAGGTTATGTTCAAGGTCAAATTCAAGGTCACCATTAAATTCCTCGTCGAAAAATACGTCGGTTATGAGGTTTTTGATTTTTTTTCTACGCTTATTATGTGAAATTTTCAGGTGTCTCCATACTTTTGCCGCACCCTGTATGGTAATACTTTAGTTGACAACTTTACCTCAATTGCTTAAAAGAAACCCTTGGCTACATAATTGTTAGAATATTTCATTTCAAAAATGCGTTATTTGACAACGAATTCATGTGTGCTGAATTAGTAGAGAAACGTGTGGTAATGGCATTAGAAACTTATTAAGTAAGCGAAAATAATTATATTATTTAAATTTTTCAATTCCGAAAATGGCTCAAATATTTACCTTTTACTTGCGCAAATTGTCCCTGGCATTATTTTTACTTGAGGTGGCTTCATGCTTTAATAATTTGCAATTTCAAATTTTTCGCTTCATTTCTTACCTTTTCTCAGCTCGTATAGAAGTTAGAGCAATGATTGATGGGTCATTTATTTACCTTTTATTTGTAGATTATGACGAAATTAGAAAATAATCGATTGGTGCAAAACTAGAGAAACGCAAGTAAAAAAAAAAATAAAACTGGCATTGAATGCAGGATACGTGGAGCAAAAATATGTCTAAAAAAAAGGCATTGGCGATCTAATTTTATATAACAAATCATTAAATGCAGCTCGTCGATATTCCGGTGCACGAGGCACCCGTATTGAAATTGTACGTTATATTCATCTATACATACGTGAATCGGTGGCGCCAATCGTAATTTGCCTACGAAGCCTTCAATTAACACTATCTGCGCAGACACACACGCAGAGACACGTTAAAACGAGCAATTACTTCTGGCTGCGGCTCAGCTAAGCGGTTTTCAATGTGCATATAAGTACATACACGTATGTGGCACTTATTGCGACGATACGCCATGTGCTGTGATCCACACTTGTATATGTATATACTACATGCATTCAGCGCGTCTCGTAATGATAATAATATGAAACAACGCGAACATGTGCACTAGGCTGCGTCGAGCACATACGACAATATTTATGTAGTGTAGGCACAGTGCGCGAAGTGCATGTTTATACATTCACAGATTGAACAAGTGCTGCATCCCTTGCTTTACGCAGAGCATTCATACGTGAAATGAGTACCTGCCGATTGCAATACCTTGGCTTGATCGATTTAGTATATAATATATTTTATATATTATACAAGTGTACCTCTGTATGATGCTAATATGGCTCTATACGATACCTCGTTTCAGGCGACCGGTAATAACGCCCCGTCATGTCTTGCTACGCACCACGCAAATGAGACTCTAATTATATCAATGCATACTTGCGTAAGTTGAACGACCACCACTGTTGGCCTTCCTCACTCCTCACTTGTATCCTTTCACCCCTTCTTACAAATTTTATCGTTGCTTTAAATTAAGCAATAACATACATGCTCCATATTGTTTGGAACATGGTATCAATAACGGTATGTTAATTTTAATCGATCCCTTAAAAAAATTACAATTGGTGACAAACTGATCGATGTAATATTCCACCGCAAACATTATATCGTCGCCCCAGCGCAGGAAGGTATCTATTTCCAAGCTGCAGCAAGAAGGATACTTACTCGCGCGCAGAGGCAAAAAGGTATCTAACTCGAGCGCAGCGGCAAAAAGGTATCTAATTCGAGCGAGAAGCAAAAAAGTAGCTTATTCAAACGAAGTGGCAAGAAAGTTTTGACGCGCCGAATTTAGGTTGGCAACGGAGCCGTAAATGATAAAATTTTATTTCAACATTCAACATTCAACGTTTAATTCAAAGCTATATGTAAAGCCGATAACTTCTACTCCTCTCAGAACATAGAAAGTTCTCCATAAGAGGCATATTGAGTCGAAATCGCGGCGAGATTGATTTGTTTGCTCGCATTTCAAATAGATGAAACTCATTACACTAGCTCAAATGTTTTTCCTCTTTTTTGCTCTAATACAAAACAAAATTTTATCATTTACGGCTCCGTTGCCAACCTAAATTCAGCGCGTCAAAACTTTCTTGCCACTTCGTTTGAATAAGCTACTTTTTTGCTTCTCGCTCGAATTAGATACCTTTTTGCCGCTGCGCTCGAGTTAGATACCTTTTTGCCTCTGCGCGCGAGTAAGTATCCTTCTTGCTACAGCTTGCAAATAGATACCTTCCTGCGCTGGGGCGACGATATACGCATGAATTCACTGAACTATTCTGTAACAATTTAAAGAAACTAAAAACTCATGATTATTTTTCCGAAAATCAATCCTAATATTTTAAAAATATCAAGGAGAATTTAAATGATGGATAATTTCTTCTTAGCCGTGACTTGGCCAAAAATTATGCTTTTGTGGTTCAAAATACTTCGCAATCATTCCATTGGAACAATAAACAAGCAACTGTATTTACAGTCTTAGTCTATTTTGAAGAGAAAATAATGAGGAGAAGCACAAAAGTATGGCGATTATTTCAGATAACTTGTCACACACGATACGGTAGCGATTCATGGGTATCAAAAAGAAAAAAATAATAGAAAACTCCTCGTAAAAAAAATTAGGTATGGGCCAAACTTGGGATAAACTTGGGACAAACTTAAGTTTAGTATACGTTTGGCCCAAACCTCGGCCATGAGAGTCACAAAAGCAAAATGTAAAAAAATTAGTATTTCTGGAACGCTTAGATATAAAATGACACCTCTTGATGATAAATTTTACATCGTGGGAGCTTATAAAAAAATGAAATTACTTCCCAATGATGTTTTAGAAACTCTTGAATTTTCACGTGATTCAGATCTTGAACTCATTTCTAAGTGTTACATATTTCTTAGGATATTGAAAAATGGAAATTATTATGAAACTGATGTGTATGTTAAACCAAAAAGGAACGAATTTGTGTTAAATATGTAGTTGACGGTGAAGAGTATTTTGGAATATTACATTATCTTTTGGCCCATACTTAATTTTTTTTACGCGGGACTTGAAAAATTGTTTCGATCCCAAACGAATATATTACTTTAACGATGGAGCTGCTCAACATTTTAAGAACAAAACTCATTTTGAAAATCTACTTCATCACAAAGCAGACTTCGGTATTCCAGCAGAATGACATCATTTTGTTACTGCTCATGACAAAGGGGGCATGTGACGGTATTGGCGCTAATCTAAAATGTGGTGCAAGAAGAACTAGTTTACAGCTCACGACAAAAAACCACATTACTTCTGTCGAATTTTTGTATGCACGGGCAAACAATGTATTGCATTGAACGTATTGCAAGGAACTGAGGTATTTATTAGTAAGAAAGTTAATCGTGTGCAAACATTGAAGTCTCTCTTTTTTAAAATCCTTTAGTCGTTTCCAATAATTTTTCATACTTCTAATTCAAAATTAAAATATCATCATTCAATCGTCTCCAGCTATTTCAGTATATGACGTATCAGACCATAGGTAGAAGATGTACTGACCCGACTTTTAAACCCTAGCCATACCAACTCACTTGAGGGAACGCTCTCAGCGTTCCCTGACCACCTAGCGGCCAAAGTGTCTTTATTAAATGTTACTTACGTAACCAAGATAATACATTAATCTGGTACTTCCAAGAGTATTTTACGTCTTAAGAATTATCGTTCTCAGGTAAATTTGAAAGCTAATACTTCTCTAGGACTAAGAAAGAAGTGCGTGTTGCGTGCTTCAATATATCAATCATTTATTATTTGAATTGAAATGGAACATTGCTTTAAATTTTGCTCTAAATTTTCAATTTTTTCTCTGGTATACGCGAATAGGAAAATTCTTAAAATTAAGAACATTTTCTATAGTGTACAATTTCTCAATTTCTTGTATCGTTTCTCGATATTCTCAGCTTTCGAAACGAGAAATTTCAAAATTTTAATTTTTATTGAAAAAAGTAGTTTTTGAAATTCCTTAAATGATTCCTTTACATCAGTACCGTAAGAAACTAATAAACTATAATGATGGCATTTTGAATTTTCAGTATGAGATAATCTTGTTAAAAGTTACATCAAAGGTGTATATATAAAAATTTTTTGATGAAAACTTCAAATACTCTTGAAATTACGTACTTTTACATTTTTGAACTTACAATCAGTAATATTATTTTTATTGTACTAAAAACTAGAAATCTTAAAAAAGGAAAAAAGTTGTTTAAAATGAGCCACACTCTCCCCTTTTTTAATGATTTTGTTAACAAATAAAAATTAATAAGTAAAAATTTAACAAATAAATCAACGTTTTGCACACAAGAATTAGATCATCGGCTCAAGAGAAAAACGAGGAATTTGAAAAATGCAAAATGATCGTCGAGTAAGCTGTTCTATCAATATAATGACCCATGCGTGAATTCGCAATACGTATACCAATAGAATATGCCTTGACATTACTCTCACTCTTGAGCAGAGTAGAGCTCTTTTTTGCTGAACAGAGCAAGGTCTCTGCGAACTTCGCAACTGTTGTGCACATACATTGCAAATGGACTGCACAAGGGGTATAATGAAATTGCGCATTTTATTGCGAAGGCGCGCACACACACGCGCATAATTATTGCGAAGAAATACTTGCCTATGCTTCTTGCGGTGACTATGTTTGACCAAACTGTCAGCAAACGATATTTTCTCGCAAAGGAAATGAAAAAATACCCCAAGCTACCGCAAAAAATGTTTTATAGGAGTTAGTCCAGGAAAAAAAATAAAAGAAGAATAGAAAACATTCATACGAATATAATAGCGTGCTCTGCATCTACTGGGAGAGAAAGAGTTACGAAAGTGCATGATTGATACGGTGAATCAAATTTATTTATGTAGTCCTGAAAATCGGATAACTTTCTTATATTTACTTGGTTAAAAAATATGACTTTATTGTGGAAAACTATTTACATGAAACGAATGCACTTGAAATGAAAAAAATCATCAATGACATATAACAGGTACTATGAAATAGATAACTATACAAAATCATTTACATTATAATTCATCTTTAGCTAACCAGTCGAGCTTGATGAGATCGGCGCCCTTTTCCCCGATCATGATCGTAGGCGCGTTTGTGTTTCCACTCGTAATCTTTGGCATGACGGAGGCGTCGATGACTCTCAAGCCCTCGACGCCGTGAACCTTCAAGTTGGCCGAATCGACGACCGAATCGTTGCCGTTGGCGGGTCCCATTCTGCACGTGCCCACCGGATGATAGAGGGTGCCGCTGGTGTAGCGCAAATTGCACTCCCAGTACTCCCTCGAATCGACTGGGTGCGTCGAGCATTCCGGAATTTCCAGCTGAACGAGTTCTATTCCCAATTTCTCGAAGGTCTCCGTGCTTAGTAAAGCTCGCACGATTTTCATCGAATCCAGCATCGTTTCCACGTCGTCGCTGCGATCGAAGTAATTGGCGAATATGCTCACGTCGTCCTCGGGCTCGCTCGATTTCAGCTTCAAGTAGCCCACACTTTTGGGATTGATCAGCGTTGGACAAACGAAAATGAGATCGCTGTCTCGAAGGAGTTTCTTTAGTTCATTGGATAGATGCTGGTTAAAATCTAAGGCAGCGGCGACGGTATCGATCTTGAAATCTTGATACCGAGGTATCAGCGAGTGATGGAACTGAATGTCCGGATAATCGTCCGAGGCGTTTTTCGTATTGAAAAATCCGAGAAAGTCCAGACCGCCCGTCGACGCGAACTCTCCCTTGCGTTCGAGCAGGTAACGATAGGCCCAGTCGAAGACGAGGCTCGGAGCTATCGGCGACGAGGTCTTGTTTTGGAATTTCAAAAGGACGCCCGGCCACATGATGTGATCCTCGAGATGTTTGCCCACCGGTAAATCGGCGATTATGTCGATGCCGAGCTCGCGAAGGTGTTCGCGAGGACCGATTCCCGACAACATCAAAATCTGCGGACTGTTGATGCTACCCGCCGACAGGATCACTTCCTTTTTGGTTCGCAGCTCGACTTTTTCGCCGTTTTCCAGAGTGACTCGTACACCCGTGGCTCTTTTTCCGCTAAAAGTTATCTTGTCGACCCTCGCGGATTTCATGACGTAGAGATTCTTGCGATCCTTCGCCACCTTGAGGTAGGCTCTGGCCGCATTTTGGCGCACGCCGTTGTCGAGGGTACCGAAAGCTCGACCGTAACCCAGCCACTGCTCCCCATTGAACATGGGCGCGATCGGCAGTCCAGCCTCCTTGGCGGCCCGCAAGAAAACGTCCTGAAAAGCCGTCTCGGAGTAATTGTACGATCTGACGTTGAGAGGACCCCCCACGCCGAAGAGCTCGCGGCCAAACTCGTCGGCCAGTCGCGGGTCGTAATTCTCGGCCTTCTTGAAATACGGCAGCACGTCGCGGTAGCTCCAGCCTCGGTTGCCCAACTCGGCCCAGGTGTCGAAGTCGCGATCGTTGCCGCGTATCCAGAGCATGGCGTTGATCGCGGAGCTGCCCCCGAGGGCCTTGCCCCGTGGCCAGGGGCAGGCTTTGCTCCTCGTGCCGCGGCAGAATCTCGAGTCGGGCTCGGCCCTGTAGCCGTAGTCCTCGGTCGTGCCGAGCAGATTGTAAAACATGGCCGGCACATCGCTCATGGGGGAGGGATCGGTGCCCCGCTCGATCAGCAGGACCCGCCAGCGGGCCAGCTCGGACAGTCGACTGGCCAGCACCGAACCGGCCGAGCCCCCACCGACCACGATGAAGTCAAAGTCCGGATTTTCGTCGACGATCTCTCGGCTGCGGTCTTGCGGATAGGAGAATCGCTCGCTCTGCAGGGCGCAATGGGACACCAGCAGCGTCTGCAGCAGTTGGGTGAAGATCAGCGAGCCGCTGCTGGCGTTGGCCGATGCAGCGCTCAAGCAAGTGTCCAGCGGGCACGTCGAGCTCATCGTCATATCGTCCTTGGATATATCTGTATGCAGACAAACGTCGAGAAGCTGAGAGATCGTAATCGTTTTAAAATTTCAGCTGCGATTTACTACGCGATGTGCTCACGCGCGTACGAAACGTGCCGAGAATTAGTCGCGAGTCGAGAGTTTGAAGAAGAGCGATTGACCTATTTACAGCTGCGCGCGATAAGCGACAATTGAGATATCAGTGATGTACACTGAAACGGCGAACGAGCACTAGTCACGCGACGATCAGCGCGCAGATACTCGAGCACTCTCGAGTTTCGGAACATCGATATCGAGTGTTGTCTCGTCATAATTCGAGTATAGGTCACTCGGACTGGTGGCGGGACTGTTCCCTCGTTGCGTCGTGTGCTGTACACACGATGAATCGAGTACCAAACGGTGTATACAAGGAGGATGCGATATTACCGGAGAGCCTTGAGTTTGCTCTTTTAAATACTTAAAATTTATTATGTTAGACGCATATTGTTTAAGTATTTATATGTAGTTCATCGGCTAATACATTATGAATATTAATATTACATAAATATGTATTTATGCATAAATTTTAGTTGTAAATAAACAAACCCCTTTTTTCAATCTTACTGTAGAATTTTAGATCTTTATTTCGAAATCTTACATTTAGTCATACATAGAAAAATTAATTTAAATAGCAGATGGGAAACATAGTAATTTTTCATACTTTTCACCGCAGTATTTTTTAAATAATATTCCGGTAGTTTCGGAACATATTTTCTTGGAAAAAATTGACAGATCTTCGTTCACTCTCCGCACCACGTACGCATAGTAGTGCGAATCAAAATCTTTTTCCTCGTAAGTTTCCATAGTAAAATAACATTTTTTATTGATTCTTACGATATTTATGATTTTACCAAATAATTTATTATGCTGTTGTATATTAATTGGTAAAAACATTCCTACTTCATAGTTAATGCCTTCTAACTCAATTTTTAGCATATTGAAGCAATCTTCTCTATCTGATTCATTTTCTATAAAAATCTGATTATTTATGATTTGGCACAGACGCAATTGCTCTTTTACTCCAATTGTGTACAACAGATTTTTTTTGCAGCTTGTAGAAGTTACTACGGATTTGATCGGTCGATGACGTGACTCGAAACGCATGGTCGAGTAATTGACACATGGTCCTAATAGTGTCAATAATCGAGGATAGTGTATTAAAAAATGATGTTTGGGCTTTAAAGGACCGAATAATTTAATGTAAAGCTCATGATGTTCTTCGATCAATGATTGCAAATAACTTTCATTATCTCGTCGAACAAAATGGCATGCTAAAATATCAAAAATTCGGCGAAGTAAAATAAATAATTGCCAATGCTCATCTTCCTCTTCCACGAAATGTCCAATAAATAAAGGTAAGTATCGTGTGAGGCATGAAATTTCGGAAGCGGACATTTTTAAATTGAACCGTTGTTTTAGATGATTCTCTTTTATTGGTGGTGGTTTGTTACAACCAGTGTGTTTATATTCAAAACATTCTATTTGTTCATTGAGGTCGTTCAATTTAAAAATTTTTTTATCGAAGATAAAAACTTTTAAAATTTGATGTATATCATAAGAGCACACGCCCTCCAAGAAATCGTGCAAAATGTCTATGCTTGTATTTTCCGTGATGTGAAAGTTTTGAATTTCGTGGAAAATACAAGCTTCTCTTATTCCGGATTCATTGACATTTTTTATTTTAGCGTCTAAATCATAATCATCACGTTTTCGAATTTTTGATTTTACTTCAATAGTTGCGAGGCTAGCTTCTTCATTAGTGAGTTTACAAATTCTGCAGTAAAAATCGGTTGTGAATGATTTCGTAAAACCAAAAATATCATTCAAGCCTAAATTATCACCTAACACCAATAGCAATTCAAATTTAACTACGAACGATTTAGAATCAACACAGATTTTCACTCCATTTTGCCTGAGGTCATTAGCCTCATCGACCAATTTATGGAAGGTCTCCCTGTTCGAAAGCTTTTTCTGCTGTTTAGAATGCATTAATAAGCTAAGAAAAATCGCACATAGACGAGAAGCAATACTAGGAGGTAGACACGCTATTTGAGAGTAGACCGCTGACATTTTATTTTTACCTGCACAGCTGCCCAGTGCATTTCCGCATTCACATTCATCAAAATAAATGAAATATGGAATCACAATATCTTGACAATGTTTTGGGATATATTTTTGCCTGAATAAATCAGCTTGAATAATATTTTTTATAATAAGGGGATTATTTTCCTCAAGTAATTTGGATCTATATTCCATTATGGAATTAAAAACATTTGGAATTTCCAGAAAATGTTTTAAAGTGATCTTTAAAGGCATCACAAGAGCAAATACTGGGTCGAAACTAACATAAGTGTGATTCCCTTCCGATTTTTTTTCTAATACATTTCCTATCTCAGGAACCTGCGGATTACGATAATTGATTTTACGTAATAAATTGAATCTATTATCCTCTGTATTAAGTGGAACAAACAACGTTTTATAATCGTCAAAAACGGAATTTAACTTCATTTTAGTTCTCTCTGACAATTGTTCATTTTCTAATGCTTCTAAAATATCTGCTCGAAGAGATGGTATGAAATGATTTTGATTAAATTTATCAAAAAAATCAATCACGGTATCAACAACCGATCTAGGCAAGTTAGAATCTGCATAAATATTTAAAATAAAAATTAAAAGTTCTTTGATTAAGAAAAAAAGATCCATGATAATAAAGATTCAAAGATAGGGCTATAAATAATAACAATAGAATACAAATTTGTATTATTTTTGTATTGTATTTAACAAATACGTGATTTTTACTTAAAAATGAAATTTACATCTGATAAAATACAAATCTGTATTATTATATCTGTACATATGTTTCAAAAGGATGTGATGTTTAATTTAAAAATTAATTAACATTTGAAAAAAAACCTTATTTCTTATTTATTTGCAATTTTTCAATTAAGTTTTTTGTCACAGCATGAGTCTTATAGACAAAAAATAAGCTCTTATTCATCGGTATCTTATAGATAATAAATTGAAAAAAAGCATGAATTGGCTCACAGGCAATGGGCCATGAACGCAGAGCTGCTTGACACTTAATGCAAGTTAAAATAGCTTTGAACGGATTAGAATAACTTATAATAGTTCCATTAAATACAAGATAAGATTTTGAAATTGATTCAATCGTTCCACATAAAATTACATACAAAGGTATCCTAATAGAAAGTTTTTCTAGAGTTTTTTCGTGATTCTCCCTATCTACAGCTAAATTTGAATCATCCTGTAAAAAAGTATTTGTGTAATTAAAAATAAGAATGAAGAAAATTAGAATAAAGTATGGGTAGAGAAGCTTACCTTAAGATGTAGAAAAAAAGCATCTGCAGCTTGCTTTCTAGTGATCCCTTCGTGAGTGTTGTTCAAGTACCATGGCAAAGCGAAAAGAGCCAATAGATTGTCATGTTTACCTGTACAAATGAAGCAAACAGATATAATTATAAAGATGCACTGACATCGATTATCAAATATTTACATGAAATAAATTAATTACCTGCATCTATTAAAGGTTGGTGCTTTTTCTTGAAATTTTTTATGTTTTGGCCAGAGGCAACTTTCACAATTGCCATAAATTTTTCAGCGATGATTGGCCATTGAGTTTCAAAAAAAGTTTCACTTCTTGCATAAAACTCGGTAGTTATTTTAGTAGAAATATAAAATTCGTTAATTATAGTCTCAAAATCAGATACCAACTGCAAGAGACCATGTAACATAATAATAATTATAATATTTGTAAACAATTCAAAGATCTATATTTTATAAAGTGGTAGATTACCAATGATATTGACGAGTGATCTAGAAGGCATTTAAACGAATGAACATAAAGTGTCGGTGTTAATAGGAAATTTTTTCCTTCTTTTTTACACAACAAATCGATCCTCTGCTTGAAAGTGTCTGTCCACCTTGCTGAAACTATAACGTCGTTATACTTTTCTCGATCGGCATCAATCAAGCAGTCGTAAAATGAAGCAAAAAGCTCTGTAAAATACATAATAAAATATTAATTTATTATACATTGTCATTTTTATGCGTGTTTGAAAATATTAGATAAAAATTAGATAAAAATAAATGCATGTATATTAGCAAACTAAAGATACAAAATATTCATGTAACAATTTGAAGTACATGACCAATTTTTAAAACTTACGTTTTTTGGCAGACTCTGTACTTATTGAAGCTGCTTTATCAGTGGCATTTTCTTCAATGTCGTCGTCGTCGTCGACGATAATTCCTACTTTTCGATACTTTCTTCTAACTTCTTTATAGGACCAATACAATTTTCCTCCCTCAGATACTTCCAAGGTGGTGCTGGTGCTTTTGGCGTGTTCTATGTACCACAAATCTTTTTCAGTGGTTGGGAAAACTTCAGCCAGTTGATCACGCAACCACACGAAAACAGGAGTAGTTATTCTGCAATTGATTACATTAAAACTATTTTATTAAACATGAACAAATTTGTAAGTTCAAATCACTACAAAAGTTTTCTACACATACATTATAATTTACATAGAATTAAAGCATAAAAATCACAGTTAAATAATAGAGAGTACACATAGAAATGAAACTCTTAATCTACAATTAGTAAGAAAAGGTCTATTTTTAACATAAAGTAGTTGAAGAGTAAATTTCAAAGTTGTTGATTTGGCAAAGCATCCCTTGGTTTTACATACTTGACTTGAAATCCTGTCAAGTATTAAGAAAAATACTGCTAATAAATATTAAACATTTAATATAAACTTTAAAATAAGTTTATTTTCTTTACGTTAGTGACAACATTTAAATATATAATGCCTGGAGTGACTTACATATAAAACAGAGGGTCTTTATTAATGTATCTGTATATAACAATGGGAATAACTTTAGAAAAGTCGACTTTTCCAAATTTTTCATATTTTCTCAAAATAAAATTCCCTTGGTCACTGCCCTCAATTAAATAATAAATTTCATTTTTTTTAAAAGTAAATGGTTCTGTAATACATACTTTAATCAGATCAACAACAAAAATTAAAAATAATCTATAGAGATGGAAAAAAAAATTAAAACCTTCCACTGGTGTTTCTAAATTTGATCGCTTACAGGGATTATCAATTTCTGCTACAATAGTATCTTCTGGTGAATGTGGTCTCTTATTATTTATAATATTATTGTTAGTATTTGAAGAGGATTCACTATTTCTATCCAAATGTAAATTTTTCTCAAAAAAATAAGATGAGATAAATGAATTTTTTTTACTTATTGAGAAAGGCTTTAAAAGTGACTCAATATTTGAAATTTCAACTGTGTAAAATTGCTCTGACTCTATTCCGCAATCTAAGAAAGATTAAAATGAAAAAAATAAAGGCTATAGATGTAAGAAGTTTAGTCCTATATTTATGCTTACTTACCCCAAAAGTGTTTGCAAACATCTGCCAAATCTGGATATTCTTTTTCAAAAGAATCCATGCTGGAGACTAATACAGGAGTATTTTGAAACAATCACCAATTCAGATCGAAGTTGTTGGTTAGATTTATAAATAACGCACGCGGCACTGAATAAACTTAATAATTATACACGATGATTATGTATACACGTATATATACACGTATATAGCAACAATAATAACAGCAGTGCGATAAAGATTTGCAGAAATGCAACTCACGATACAATCGTATGTTTTTGCACGATACTTCAGAGTCTTTAAAACTCTTGCAAAAGTGTGTGTCGTGCTTTGTCTTTAAAGCGGGAGAATCACACGTGTGGCGCGGGACGGTTACTCGACCATCGAGTATCTAGCACACGATGACGTTTAGTTAGCAGCGCCACGGCAGTTTGAGTGTCGTATTCACGACGCTGTGTGCGGCTCACTCGTTCGCCGTTTCAGTGTACGTCTTTATTAATTATGTATTCATAGCTGTTACGATCGTTAATTTCATGGATTATGTGCTTATTCAGGCGAAAATGATTGATCCGAACGCGCGACTCCTATTTTCGCTTTGCATCTGATTTCGATCGCGAAGAGTTAAAAAAAAAGCGATATTTTCTTGATTCGTGAGGTTGCGTACAGCCGGCGAATCGATCATTCGCCGCGTTTGTTGGATAGCGATAATTTGGCCAGCTGAAGCGAAGAGACTCGCGTTACGAACTCGTGCGAAATTCGTGCAAAATTTTCAACTTACCTCGAATTCAGCTGCTTGTTAATGGCTTAATATCCTTTATATATAAATTGAACAGTCGATCTATCCGTGACAAAGGTCCTTGTCGTCGTCGCGCCGCTGTTGCAGCGGCGGCAGCGGTGTGCTCTACCAGGTATATACCCGCAGCGCAACTGATCGCGCGTGCATATCTCGACGAGCGTCGCGAACGTTTCGCGAGATTTCTCTCTCTCTCTCTCTCTCTCTCTCTCGAACAATTATCGCTCTTTCTCACTCTCTAATGCTCTCGCTGCGTATGTGCGGGCGCTCGCGATCGCGTCTTAATGCGTGCAATAATGTGTGCGTGTGTCGCAGGTGGCCGCTTCTTGCACCTACCTCTCTCTCTCTCTCTCTCTGCGTCGCTTTATCCTCTCGATGTTACACCGATTAAAACGCCTTGACTAATCATCATACGCACATTATTATAATACTGGCAAACGATGATAAGACGCAGCGCTTATCGTACGATCTCATGTTATCATTATATAGACAAGCAGTTACGTTTATTTTATGCAGATGGCAACTTTTGCGTAAACGATCTACATAATGTATGTAATTTTGTACGCGTGAAGAAATTCGAAATTATGAAATGTCTCGGATCGATCGAAGCATCGGATACGTCGTACATGCTCGTACATAGAGAACGTACAGTGCGTTTCCAATAGTTTTAACATTTTCATGGCTACTCGTAATTGTACCTACGCGATCGTTCATCTAGTTATCTGTCTTTAAATACACTAGTTTCACTGATCGGTTGAGCGTGGCTACTGATTCTCGATAACGAGCTCGCGCCGAAGGATCGATCGCTCACATCTATCACGATTGTACTCGTTCGTTCGGAATGACTATATGCCTATACACGCGACTCGTTTTCCGATCGTTCGAGCCAAAACAACATTAGAATCCGATGAATGCATAATTTTGCAGAGTCGCGACATTTTTCAGCACATAACTGTTTCACTTATCGATACGCTGCATCGTAGACGCGCACGAGGTGACGAATTTTTTTTTTTTTGTTTCGTCTTACCTCGTGCGGCTGCAAGAAAATCCAATCAACGGGATCGTATTCGTACATTAACGAATGTGTTATATGCATATCGGAAAAGAGACGCTCCGAAAAAAGGAAGACAAGGTACGTAACGCGACCGCTCGGAGCCTATATCTATATTGCGCGCGCGCGCTTACACGCGAATAAATGTATATATCCCGCTCCGATATGGCGTCGTAAATAATTGAATTTGACGCAGGCTATAAACCAAACAAAATAAGAAAAATAAAGTGAAAAAAACTCGAATAGCGAGCCTTCCCGAATAATTTGCATTATCTTAGATATTCGCGCGTACATTCCTCGTGCGTGATTTTTTGGCGTATCGTCAACTCGATGTACAACTGCATACATAATTAATAAACGGCCAATTTTCTGACAAATCGACTAGGTAAGCTAATTGATTTTTTGGTGATATAATTGACACACATTGTGTTGCGAGTTCGTGATATATTTTCAATGATTTGATAATCCATAGTTCGACTTTGACGAGCTATAATTAGCAGCCACATTGAGTATTTTAATTTGAAATGGATTTTATTTACATTTATTAGCAGCGCCGACATGGGCACTGGCATGTCATTAAAACTGAATCGAAATTGGAGTGAAAAAATATTTTACCTATATTTTTCAAAAATGTAACTAAAGAAAATGCCCTATTTTATTTCCAGGGTGTAACTTTTAAAATATCCAATAATTTCATAACGCTTTTAGATTTAAATATATGCACTGGACACCTAGTGGTAACGACTAGGGCTGTGCGAGTATCCGATTTTTCGAGTTTTACTCGACTCGAACTCGACTCGCCGAGTTCGAGTCGAGTTCGAGTCGAGTCGGGAAAATTCGAGTACTCGAGTTTTTTCGAATAATCGATTTTTTTCGAGTACTCGCCATGTATTTAATTTTTAAGTAAATAAATGGTGAATCAACAGTTTCTAGACCACCTCTCTTTGTGTGTACATGCTTATAAGTTTGATATTCGCAGTGGATTGGATTGGAAGAAGAAAATAATTTAATTGTACCGCACTTCATCACACTTACAATCACGTACACACAAAAGGAGGGGTCTAGAGACTGTTAATTCATCATTTATTCACTTAAAACTTAAATATATTGCGAGTATTCGAAAAAACTCGATTACTCGAAAAAACTCGAGTACCCGAAAAAACTCGAGTACTCAAAAAATCGAGTACTCGACTCGAACTCGAGGAAAAAACTCGAACTCGACGAGTCGAGTTTTTTCGAGTACTCGCACAGCCCTAGTAAAGACCTGAAGTAGTATTATCGTACTTAAAGAGGTCAAAAACTAGTCTAAATATTTGAAAACAATTAAATTTTGGTTTTCAGGTCAATCAACACGCGTTTAACATTTTTTCAATACTCTGTGCGTAGATAGTACATTACGCAACGGGGTCGGGAGGTTGTCGAGTGTCAAGTTAGTAGCCCGAGTGTTGCATAGATGCGAGTACAAGATTGACAACCGCCCTAGTTGCGTACTCTAATTTTCATTACAACGCACGGAAAGTAAATTTTAAAATCGCCAACCGTGCGCGAAAGTAGCACTTTCCGCACGCAGTGATGAAAACATAGTTGTTCTAGCTTTTCGATGACGAACGAGTTGCATAATAGTACATTATTTATTTTTATTTGTACACTATTTTTTATCACGAGTTGCGGGAAATAAAAACTTCCTTTACTTCTGTAATGTACTAAACATAATTGTAACAGGAAATCGCCAAAAAAAGCCAATTAATGGTCGTTTTTTGGTTAGCAAAACATAATAAATGTTGAGCATTTCTATTACGGTAACTGCTCATCTTTCAACAAATACTCTGAAAATCGTTTCACATACATACTTACGAGCACAAAAAAAATATTCAGTCTGTTCAACATTAAATGATTTGGACAATTTTTTTAGCAAAATTTTTGAAATCGTGTACCTACTTATCTCGATCGAGATCGGTGCATATCATGCTACACATACGACCGGGATAGAGATTACGCGATGTGTGTAATTGAAATCGAATTTATACATAAATGCGCAAGTGTGTACATACAAGCGCATGTCGAAGCGGCGCGCGACGAGTACGATATATAATAATGCTCGCGAGCAAAGAGATACGACCGCTCACAGGCGCTATCCGTCATTATAATAGAGATCGACGCGTTCAACAAGCAAGCTCGTGTGCGCTCGCGCTCGAAATCGCATAATATACGTAGAATATAGGTATGTATAGGAGAGCGATCTTGTTTGTTACCTTTTTTTTGCTTCTTCTTTTATAAATAAAAGCGTCAATTTGCATAAGTAACGAGCTGTCGCTTTTTCAACGGCGCCTCATAAAGTTTCTCAAGCCTCGCGTGTGTTTATGTGTGTATGTATGTGTGTGTGTGTGTGTGTGTGTGTGTAGGTAACGTGTGCCAAAGCAATCGCGTCAAACGCTCGGCTACCATTACTCGAGCGCGCAGCGCCTTAAACGAGCTGCGAAATCATCTCGCGCTCGTGTATACGTGCACACGCAGAGGCTTATCGAGGCGAGCGCGCAGCATTGACGCTACATTACACACGTATACATAGCTGCCGATCGCGAGCGAGCGAGCAGCAGGTGATATAATTATAATACAGCTGTAGTGCGCGTGTGCGAGCGTAGAACGAAAAATTATGCGAGCCTCCAGCAACATTGTATAGCCTCTCCGGAGTCGCGATATTATGTAAAAGGCGAGCTCGCGCGAGGAATCGTTTTAAGGAGATACCGAACTGCGCCGAGCTAAACGTGAACATTTTCAACGCGCGTCTTTTGAGATTTCCACTTGAAGACGATGTCACCATGACAACCGCGTAGCTTCTTGGACACAATTTTCAGTAGAATCATAAAAAAATGCACGTGTCGAAAATTTTCATTTTGGATCGGCAGTTTGGTATCTCCTTGACGAAAAGAGTTTAATATTCAATAAAGCGTCTATGTTTGAATATAAACACGTTGATTCGCCGTGAACGCATTGATTTATTGGACTTATAAATATTAATGCGGTGCAGGTACCGAAATATAACATAACAAGCTAGAGCCGAGCGTTTTGTTGTATAAATGTGTGCCCCGTAGCCGTATCTATCGGTATGCGCGCACTAAACGACCCAAGAATCTCTCGATCAATTTGTCATTCTGAATTAGCCGATAAACGATCGTCGATTGGCTGCCGTTGCCGCCAATCGTAAACACCGCGCGACCACCGAGATTTTCATTACAATCGCGCGCGCACTGCATTCGATTATATACGTACCGATTTTATATCTTAATCTTGACTTTGAGCGCGGCAATTAGTATAGCTGACATTGAATGCCGCGATTGAATTGCCGAGACATTTATGTTTATTTATCTCCATAAAATAATGCGCCAGTTTGAGTCGCGATTTGAACCGATATATGATCGTGTTGCAGGTGACCGATGCAGCTTGAAGGTCGCCTACGAGCATCACTTGAAGCGTTTCCCGGCTTCGCTGGTCGTCGGTCCCTTCGGCGGGCTCGGCGGCCGCGACTTTCTCTGCGTCCAGTGCCTCGACGGCAGCCTGCTCTTCTACGAGCAGGAGGTCTTCACCTTCGCTCGGACGCTCAAAGCTCGCCTCCTGCCCGAGCCGATGATTTACGTGGCCAAGAACGACGTCTTCGTGACCCTGGGCAGCGACTGGAGCCTCGAGTGCTACCGCTACCAGAACATCGCCGAGGTCGGCCGAAAGGACGACGCGGCAGCGGCGGAAAGCGACAGCAGACGAGCGGCGGCAACGGACTCGGCACCCGCCGTCCGACCCGATTGGAATTACAATTTGGGCGAGGCCGTGATCGGTCTGTCGGCCGTCACCCTCAGCAGCTTCGAGGTCGGCATCGTCGTGCTCGGCGAGCGAACGCTGTACTGCTTCGGCGACGCCGGCACGTCCATCAAATTTTCCAAGCGACTCGCCTTCAATCCGCTCTGCTTTTTCGCCTACATCATAGGTGCTTTTTATGAAAAATCATCATTGACTTTGGGGTATTTCAAAAAACGGTTTGAAAAATCAACGACACACGTCTGCAATAAGTTTAACATTAAGTATAGAAACCCTGATGGAAATGGGTGTGGACATGCTCTTTCGGCAAAACAAGGGGTTACTGTGTTTGCTGTCGGGTATTTTTTTGAAAATGCGTATTTACTCGTGTTTCACAGAATGTTTCATTGCAGAACAGCATAGAACAAAAGGAAAACGTACAATTTTTATGTTTTAGAGCGCTATATAAAATATTTTATTATTAATTTTTTTGTTTAATTAAACTTGTTTTTATCTACTTTAAATTAAATAATACCACTTAGAGCCTTTACCGCTAGATGGCGAATAGCTTTAAAAATTAAATCTGTAAATCTGCAAGTGGCAAAGTGCAAATAACTGTACAAGTAGACGCAAGTTTTTGAAATAATTGATCAATAACTCCGGCAATTATTTCGCATTTTGAAAATTTTTGAAGGAAAGGGAAGTAATCTATTTAATGTGGATCGAAAAATAGGCTATACTTTTAAAAAATTAATAACAAGTAGAACAATAGTTTACATTAAAACAAAATAAATTTAACAGCAGGAAATATTAAATAATATGTATTTTGACTGAAATAATTCAGATTCAGATCGATGCTAGAAAATCGAATTGGATTTACCATCTGTTTCAAGCGAGTACGACGAACTAACTGAATGTCTCTCTCGGCCCGCACATAGTTTTCCCGCCGTACATGAGCGTTCACCAAATCGTAAACAATAACAAACATACGTGAACGAACAAATTTCCATTGTAGAAAATTATAAAGAACTATTGAAAGTGTGTTCAATGCGCAATATGCGTGAGTTATATACAGTAAAAAAATTATAATAAAAAAATGAGAGACTTTCTAATGGCCCTTTTATATCGAGGAAATTTTTTGTCAAAAAGTTCTATAGGCGTGAAAAAAACTTTTCAAAAACTTTTTATGAAATTTTTAATAAATATATGGTATAGAAAATTTTCTTTCGTGACGGGATCACATAAAACAGGCAGCAAACGAGGGAAAAAATTTATTTCCAGTCAGGTTTTTGCTTGTTGGGTAAAGCGAAACAATCTTCGTAATACATTTTGACGTGATTTTTTTATGACATCGGTAAAATTTTTACAAAATTTAGAAACTCGAATAGTTCTCGAGATTCAAGGTGGAAAAAAAACATGCCCACGTTCAACCGAACAACTTTGTTGTTTTAATATTACCGCACTGAACTTTCAGCTGTGGGAGAATGATTTTTCAAACTTTCCTTTATTTTTGTAAAACACATTCATATGAAAACATACATAATGAGTAGGTAATGATTTGAAAATTAGCTCTTATTGTATACCTACACGGATATTACAGTGAGATTATAATCGATCTCGAGTGAGCGAGAGCGGGAAAATAACGCGTGTAAATCAAGGGAACGTGGAAAAGAAGTAAAAAAGAAAAGGAAAAAACGAAAGAGCGAATTTCTCTTTCTCTCTTTCGTTTCTCGATGCGTGCATGCATCGTATACGAGTGTGTGAGCCATACGTATAGTTGATATTAAATGGCTCGCTTGCATCGCTTTGCGCGCATTTGGCATTGCTCGATTAAATGTTGCAGAGCCGGACGGTAAATTAATGGAGATGCTCGTTGCCGATACGAACACAATGATGATTTACGAGTCTACGACTCTCAAGTGGACGGCCCAGCTACCATTCGCTCCTGTGGCCGTTGCTCGGGCTCGATTGAAGGTGAGACGTGTGTAGCAGCAGCAGCAGCAGCAGCTTCTCTTGCTCTTTTTCTTTGCTCCTCTTCTTCTTTTCTTGCCTTTATTTTTTATTTTTTTTTGCTCGAGAAAAACATCGCGCGCCGGGCGAACGTGGTATGGTTGTACGCGCGTGTGTGCGCGAGACGCGCTATACGTATGTACCCTGTAATACGTGCCAAGCGCCGGGGCAGCTGCGGAAAAAAAGAAGGAAAAGCGATCGTGCGCGCGCGCGGTGCATCGACTCTTATCTCGGGCCTGTATCTCGTGGCTCTTTCTCTTCTTTCGCGAGCGTACAGTGGTCATCGTTCTCTCTCCTCTGCTTTTATTTCATTTCGCTTCTTTTTTAGCATTGCAATTCTAATGCGTAAATATGAGTATATATAAAGCAAGTATCTTCGTCTCGTGTGCGATCGCTTTTAAATTCACTCGAGCAGATTCACAATTTCTCGGATTTCCCTCGTAATACCTGTATAATGATGTTTTGTGCGTATTGGCGCGCTCGATCGCGTGGCGCCTGATCGCGCGAGCCCACCACGATCGGAATGCTATGCACCGCGAGAGCATTGTACGTACACGACTTGGATCGCTTACTACGCGCCAACCAAATATGATTTTATGAGAATTAATGTTACGCATCTCGAGTTATGACAGCGCGTGGGAAATGGATACGTCGGGCGATGCGCAATGAAGCGTACTCGCGCGTGTTTTCCCTTTCTCTGGTCAATCGGATTATAAAGTTTGCTTAAAAGATCATCGTGCGGCTGCGCGCATCATATTTACGTATAAATAGAAGTCCATACTCAAAGGCCGCGCACAGTAGTGATTCATCGCTCGGCTATTCGGGAAGGATCTGTATCGTTTGTTTTTCAAACGATTCTCGTATTGAGCTAGTGTATAAAAAAACTTATGGTTCCATTTTTTTCTACAACTATACACGCGATATATGCGATGGAGAGAAGACGGTCAAGTCTCGCTGTGTTTGAAGAAGGAAGCACTTGCTGCGCCTGCGTATATCAATCATCGCTCGACAGTCGGTTCTAACGAGTCTCTTTGATCTAAAACGTTAATCGATTTCGTACACAATAAACATTGTTTATATATGAAGGACCCCGCGATCCTATTATCGCGATCGTTAATTAATCTCACTCATCAGCTGGTCCAGATCGTACATTAGTAAGCGCTAAGCGGGCGCTAAGTATATAAGTAGCTGGCATCATTGAATTCGCGTCGTCGATGATTTGCAGCGCGACTCCGAGGCTGCGTTTGCATGTGCCGCCTGCGCATATAATATACATCGATTATTTTTGCTCAATTATAAAGCGACGACGATCGAACTCTGCATTTTATTATTGCCCACAGATCGTGTGTGTGTGCGCGCGCGCGCGTAATGCAGTGTGCATGGCTACTTGTGTACTCGGGCGGGCAGGCACGCTTCCGACACGTGCTGCGATCCACTAGAGCGCGAGACTCGATCGACTTGCCGCCTGCAGATAGGCCTCTCTATATTAATGATTAAATAAGTATAGCATGTGTATGAGCCGCGGCCCGCGGCAATATTAAGTTCGTCGTGCGGATAAGACGGCGGCGGCGGCGGCTCTTCGTAGAAATACATCTGCCAGCAAACATATCCATGCTGCATTTTAAATAATTGTTTTCTCCCAGAGCTCGTGTGCAGTTGTACGTGTGTTGCTCGTTATTATTACACACGATCGCTGCGGTATTATATACAATAAGTACTGCGGCAACGCGCGCGTCGCGGTTTATTTTGCCGCGCGATAACGACCTATACTACTGTAGTAGCCACCGACACTATATCCAATTGAAAACAGATCGCGATGCGCTCATTTTTCAGCTCACGCGACCTCATCGATCTGCTGCCGCGCGAATCGTTTGCAAAATTCCCTCGTTACGCCATCTCATGAAATTATATTCCATCGCGTTACATGCATACATCTCACTGCACCTCGTTTTTGCGCGCAGAACCTCGACGGCGCGATAGTCGCTCTGTCGGAGGAGGGCCGCCTCGAGGTCTGCTACCTCGGCACCGAGCCGACTCTGTTCGTGGCGCCGCCGGTCAATCGTCGGGGCTTCGACTACGTGGCGGCCGAGCGCGAGCTCCTCGAGATGCGCCACTTGCTGAAGGAAGAGGCTGCCGGTGGCGGTGCTGCTGGCGGTGCTGCCGATCCTCTCCTGGACGAGGCGATGCTCGAGGCCGAGCTGTCCATTCAGGTGTACGTCTCGCCGGAGCTGCTGCCGATGCAGGCCAGCCCCTCGCGATTCTCCTCCTCGCTCGATGACAACAACGAGGAAAACAAAGCCAGACAATCGAGCATGTGCAAGATCAGTCTCGAGTTGGCGTCGTACACGAGCCTGCGGGACGTGCAGGTGATTCTGGAGGTCGAGGAGCCGCTCAAGCTTTCCGACGATTTTCTTCAGTATCCGACTCTGCGTAAGTGCTCGGCAACTATACTATTATCTCGAATGACTCGGAGGAATATGTGTATAGAATAAAGTGGTGGATCGTTACAGGTGACAAGCACAGCAGGGACATCTTCGTGTACCTCGGGGCCACGTCGGACTGCGTGGCGCTCGAATCCCGGGTGCAAATCGTCGCCAGTTACGAGAACGAGTCCGACCAGACGCGGGTCGTTTACAAGCAGATACAGCTGCCGGCGAGGCTGCTGCTGAAGCCGACGCCGCCCGAGAGCACGGCCCAGCACGTCATCACCATCAAGAGCAGCGAGCCGGTACTCGGCTTCAGCCAACTCTTTCCAGGTATTATACACGTCCTACATATATACGTATATAGACTTGTTAAGCATCGCGCGCGGGTCCATCCGCAGTCCATCATCATCGCGTGCGATATTACGCATGTGCACTTTCGACTACGCTGCTGGTTCGAGCTTTTTCATTTTTCTATATAATCATTGTTTGCGGTGGGTCCGTGTGCGGTACGAGAAGCAAAAAAAAAGGAATAAATGCAGGAGAGCGAGAGAGAGAGGGATGAGAGGAAGATTCATTACCGAGCTCGTGCGCCGTAATTATCTTGTGCCGAAAACTCGATGGGTAAAAGAAAAAAAAAACAGGAGAGAAACGAGAAATTCTTTTTTGACGGCTTAATACCCGATGATTTGACTTTTGCGGGCTTTGTGGATTTTTCAAATCATATATTACAACTCTCGAGCGACGAGCGCCTGAACTCTGACTCAATTTTGCGATTTACAACGAGCCAGCTCGAGTTAGAGAATCATCATTTTTTTACTTTAAAAAACTTGACGATTTCGATAACAGATTATACGCGCGTACACGGCAAAAGAAACAAATTACGTCATTATTTTTTCATCTCGTTACAACTTTTGAGTATAGCGGACAAAGTACGAAATTTAATCAGGTCGCGCGGGTGCGAAAATTTGAAATTAGTACGACGAAAAAAGTAATTAAAATTTCCTCGAAACTATATTCATTTCATCGCACTCGAAAGTCATTTGAGCGGTCACTGATATCGAGGTCAGGGCAAAAAGGGAAATTTTCGAACGCATATTTTTGAAATTTCTACCAATATTTTTATAAATATAATCAGTGTGGGTAAATAGAGTATTTTTTTTTTAGAAAAAATTAGAATAGAAATCTCAGAAAATGTATTTGAAAGTTGTCAATATTAGCCAGCTTCTGTAGAGCGCATAAAACACGAAAAGTATATGGAGAATTTTGTAAGATAACAATAATCTTGAATATTGGGATTTTCGTTGAACGTTGAACGACAGAATTCGTGGGCGACTCGCAATCCCGCCAAATGACCAACTCGGTGGGCATCGAGCAGGTGGCCACGGGCAGCCTGGTGAGCGTCAGCTCGGGCCTCATGCAGAATCGCTACCGGCTGCAGTCGAGCGACCCGCTGGCCCTGCCGCTGGTGCTGCAGCAGCTGCTCCAGCGCCTCGAGGACAAGTCCGGCTCGGCCAAGGTCGCCAAGCTCAAGCTCAGCAGTACCCTGGCCCAGCAGCACCTGCAGCTGCTCTACGACCGGATAGACGCCTGCTTCGAGACGAGGCTCGACATCAAAGCCGCCATGGTGAGCCCCGTGTTATTGTCGTTATTGTATATGCGCCCACGGGCGACGATGAAACGATCGTCGATCGACGAATGCGCACAGAGCCGGGAGATGCTGCGTGGCAATAATACTCGCGAATAATGCCACATAAACACGATGAATCGGAGCATTAAATGAAACCGCGAGAGGTCGATCGGGGGCCTTATCTAATGTGCAGCGTGCGCTCCGCTATATACACAACATTCATTTATTCAAATTGCGCGTTAATACGAAAAAAGACGCGCGTATAGGCGAGGCGAGGCGCGAATCTGTCGGCAATTGCAGCTCGGCCACAAACAAACATGTTGATCGACGCGCGCGCTAATATTAATTTGCACATACAGCCGCTACAATAGATAATTCCGACTCTGCTTGTAATGCATATTGCACATCGCATGGTATTATATGTACGTATATTTGCTTCTCTATGTAGAGGGAGATTGGATTACTGACGACCCAATTGAGAAGTATCGAGAAGAGAATGCTGCGCGCCACCAAGGAGCGAAACTCGCGCTCGCTCATGTCCACAGGACTGTTGAGCTTGCTCGAGGCTACCTACGACGCTTACTTTGGACAATTGGACAAGTTGCAGCTTGCGCAGCAGGTACGTCCGGCATTTCAAGCATTTTACAATTTCTTTATGTATGCGTCGAATTTCGTTTGTTATATTTGAATTTTTGTGCTCCATGACTCGAGCGTAGAAGCGAGAACGAGCGGCGCACGACTTGCAGGCCGCCCTCAAATTGATTATACTGCTGCTGAAGATCAACGTCGGCGAGGACAAGTGCAGACTCTTTGAGTCGGCCGTCAATTACACGACCCAATTGAGGGCCGATGATTTGGTACGTATAATAATAATATGCAAAGGGCAAAAATAATTTTTAATCGGATTTTTGGTCGGTGAAAAGTTGCGCAATCATCCCAGAGTATTATTTTCTCTTTATTTGTCTACGCTAAACGTCGATGCACATAATACGACATAATTAATATTCATTATGTACGGCTGCATTGGCTCTTGTGCGCACGCACTTGTAGCAGCGGCCCCGCCATGCATTGGCGCTCGTCGGCAATTTTTTGCGCGATATTCGGGCTAATCTAAATATGTCTTACACAAACTTTCCGCGGTGCGACTTTTTGATCTCCGCGCATTGTGCTTTAGTCAACCGATCAATCATCGGCAGCATTATATTACGAATCATCGCCTATGGCACATGAATAACTACGCTCTCGCGATAACGTCGTTATAATGCGCCGCTGGGATATTTACATATATTCGGGACTGCGCCGTGAACGTATCGAAAAATGAAAAAGTGTTTCAATATGTGTGCACAGGACTGGGAAGAGATCACGGATATGGGACTGGCGATGCTGATGCGTCATCTGCAGCAGGAGCGCGACGGAGGCGCGAACGACGCCAACTACGATCTCGGCCGTCGCAGACTCGACTATTCCTACATCAAGTTCGAGACGCGGGACGATCTGGAAAAGCTCAAGAGGCACCTGAGCATGGCGCTGGAGCTGCTGATGGCAAGCAGTGGCGTGCAAGAGGAGTCCCTGGCCGAGGAATAGTCGATCGCTCGCGCCCGGCCCAAGATTACATTTCTGCAACGATCGAGCGAGACGATCTTGTATACCGATCGCTAATAAAAAAAGGATCGTTTGTACGATCGTAGGAATGAAATTCATGCGATTCGAAAGCCACAAAGAGCGGCAGCTCCGTATTTAATAACATTGTTTGTACATTTGCATTTTCGTCGATCGCTTCATCCGAATAAACTTTCACGATCAGAAGTGTCTGAGTAAATTTTCTTGGAATCAATTTCGGGAAAAAAATGTGTACCCACCATACTGCTTTATGCTTATTGACCAGTAGCAATAAAACCGCAGGCCGCGCGCGTAACGTATCTTTGTCTTTCGGGACGTTCGTCGCTTCGAGTTGACGTTACCGAAAACTTTTTGCGCGCATGTGTGCAGCTCTAAAAGTTGTAACATACCGCATGAATATATGCTCGCCGAGCGTACAGATTATTATAACGTCGCGAGCGTCGAAAACGAGTTTCACCATTAAAAATAAATAAATCACAAGACGCGCGCGTCGACTATTATAGCAGCAATATATACAAGCGCTACGCGACGTCATCTTTGGGAGCTTCCAGCGATTACGAACGAACGAGAAGAGGAAAGAGAGGCTGCGTGCGGTGGCGGCGGCGCATCTAGAGCCGCGTCTGTCTCTCTCTCTCTCTCTCTCCCTCTTTTTCTTATAGCCGTTTGTAGGTGTGCAGTACACTGCGTTTTCTCGATCACGTAACGACGCGCGCGCATCATCGTCCTCTAGGATAACACGCTCGATGCATAAAACATATTATATACCATGAAAATTGTATATAAAAAGCTTGACTTTTAAAGGCAATGTGTGCATGTGAGCAGCAGAAGCAGCAGGCAACCTGTTCGTTTTATATACGCTGCAAGCCTAGCAAGCTCGAACTCGAGTCTCGAGTATTATATTGGACGATCTCTTTGCGAGCGCATACCGAATTCCTGCTGATTTTATTGCAAAAATTGTATATAGTCAAGGTCGATCGAGGCCGATTACGTCCAACCTTCACCTTCTTTTCCATCCACGCCCGACACGTACACGCGAAGAGAGAGAGAGAGAGAGAGAGAAAAGAGCTGCTTCCACCGGCGCGTACACATATAATACGACCATATATACTTGCACGTGTGCAGTGCGCTAATGAAAGGTTCGAATGATCGCGCCGATAGGAATCGCCAACGATGCAGCAGCAGCGGCAGCTTCGAGTATATTAGGCGCCGCAGGAAGCGAACGCGCAAAAAGGAGGAAAATTCTCTGCTTATTTGCTTTTATTTCATTGTACGCGTGTACGCGTATACGCGCGTACACTTATATACGTATAGCTGCGAGCGGGTCTCTCTTTTGTCTCGCGCGTACTGCAGCGCGCGCCTGCGGCAGCTGCATATATATAAAACTACACTTTAATGACTTTCGGCGCAAATTGCGATTGTTTTTATTGTTCGCGAAGAATTTCGATTGATTGTTTATATTATGTGCGCGCGCGCGTAGTTTAAAGTCCGAGTGGCCGCTATTGTCTTTTTTTCTTCTCGCGCGGAAGATCGCCTCGCGACTCCGATCGTACGATTCTCAATTGCGTATTCGTAATGAGGCTATATATTTATTAATCATCGCGCAGATGCATTACGCGCGGTAATAATAACCTGAGAAAATTATGACAATGAATCGATCGCGCTGATATTTCCCCTGTTTTTCATATTATATATCGTCGACGATCCAGTGCCTATATAACGCATCATACAGTGTATAAAATGCGTGCGCTCGAGCGAGGAAAATAAAAAGGCCGCACGATGGAAAAACATCATCGCGCGCGTTTATATAGGTGCACGTACGTCATACCGCACTGCCTCGGTGGCGCCAGGAGAGAAAAGTACATACATCAGAGCAGAGAAGAAAATTGCGCTTTGGCTCGTGGGCGGCTGCAGCGCGCGTTCGCTCAATCGTGCAACGCAAACGCGTGAAAGAGACAGCTGGAAAAATCGCGCTCGTGCGCGGGTCCGTGCTCCGAACGAGCGAGCGAGGATTTTCCTCGAACGACTCGATCCGTCGTCGCGACCTCCGATTCGTGGCTGCAAATAGACATGGCAACTTTTATAATTCAATAATATATCGGAAAAGCAGCGGCGTTCGATTTTCTCGTGTCTTAAGCTAGCCGCCATCGAAGCTCGTCGCGTCCGATTACATATTATATAGATTTTATATATATGGCGATCGGTTCGATCGTCCACGGCGAGTTAATATAATTAGATCGATGAGAATTTTGCATTAATCGAGCGGTATCACGAGTCGCGGATCGGGAAATGCTACGTAGACACGTTATAAAACCGCTCGATACGATACCGATTCAATTAAGCATTAGCGCGATCGATCGATCATTGTCTATGTATTCGTATATGCACTGCGGCTCACTTAAATCCAGTATATATAAAACGCGCACGCGAGTTGGACGGAAAAGGCGAAATAATTTATAGGCCATACAAGCTCGTATTGGTCGCCGATAAACATTATAGATATATATATATATTTTGTCAATGTGAAAATTTTATAAAATAATTATGGCGTGTATATATAGTAGCGCACGCGCGACCATGCGCATATTTGCCAATTAATCTCGCCACTTGAAACACATATAAATATACATAACGCACGGCGTACGTAGTCTGGCATTTCCTTAACGTACACACGGGCGTATACATAATAAACGCCGTTAATTAAGTCGACGATGCGGCGCGCGGGGATTTTTTTGTTTTTGTCGCTCTCTCGAGTCGTGTTTATACGGCGTCCTCGCGGCGTTGCGCGAGTCGAGCCGTGTCTCGCGCTCCGGCGAATCTAATTCCAATGCATACATTTCAATCGGTGCACAGGTATCGCTACGGTGTAGTTATACTTTATCCGTTTTCTAGACGCATTTCCATTAGCTATATATTATAATGTATTGCCGTGGCGCGCCGATCGCCGAGTCGATCTTTCTACCCGCGTGCAACACCTCGTGAGTCGTGCCGGCCGCGCAGCTTTCGCAGTCGAGCCAATTATTTTTATGTATATAGACCCATTCCTTTTTGCCCTATCTCCTTTATGCACATGATCCAAGTAGCAAAAAATTATACGGCCTGCAGCACATTGCACAGAATCTAGCCGGGCTGCTTCCTCGTTTTTTTTCTCCCCGTCGAATTGCATCGATGTGCTCCGCGTTTCCGATCGTCGCTTATTCGTGGGCCACTCGACGACGATAGCTGCCCGCGTGTGTGAATTTATACGCGCGATTAATTGTGGCACGTGGCCCGCGAGATCGATCAAAGTGTCACGCGGTACGTGCGCCACATCCGCGCGTGTATACAAACATTATATTATACACTTGCCTCGCGAGTCGCGGCCCGTGTCGACGAGTCATCAAAATCGACGGTTGGGATCGATAAAATGCGCGTTACGTAGCGTCGATCCAGCGTCGCGATAATTTTCACCCCTACATCTCGTTTCCGTTTCCATTCGTTGCTCACTCTCTCGCTCTCTTGTTTTATTTTTATTTTACCTCGTATAAATGCAGTGGATACTATACATTGGCTCGCACCTGAATTATCATTATCGATGCACTCGAAATTGTAAATACGCGTATTATTATGAGAGTTTCAGAGGAAAAATTACGCAATATCGTAAATGGATCGGGTTTCTTCAGTCTCGATACGCTCGATCGCTACCGTTCATTTTTTCTTTTCCTTTTTTTCTTCTTCTCCGATCATTCAGTCTCTCTCGCATTGGCAATCGCTGCTGCGCGCTTGCATCGCGTATCGTATCATTTCCTAGTACTCAATACGTATATCACATGTGTACGTTACACGGCTATTTTCATTAATTGACATCGTGTACTCGTGTATGGACGCTTACATGTATATATAGCTGCCGAGATTACTTTACATCGATATCGATTTGAATGAAAAATATAAATCAGGTTCTATCGAGTGACACGATGCACACCGTGTGTAAGATATACACATTATGTATATATGACGATTCTCGTGGAATCAAGCAATTAGAATTTTTTTTCGATTCGAACGCAACGTTGAGTAAAATCGGACTTGTAGTAGTACACGATCGTCTTCTCGTAGATCTCGATTACTATCGCGACTATATGAATGATGGTTAGAGAAAAAAAAAGGAAAAAAAGACGACGGCACAGAAAAGGAGGAGGACGTAAAAATTTGACACGCGTGCTTTTACAGAACGCAGTTGTTACCTTCCTTGAACATTGACGATTGAAATATATGCAGGAATGATCGAGTTGTTAAAATTCCATAGGCAGCTCGTTTCAAAAGAGATCGAAATTTCGCTCTCCATAGATCTTCATCTCTCTCTCTCTTCCTCTTTCACTGCTCGGCATATATTGTATATTATATTGTATAAAATGATGTACGTGGGCTAATGGCTCGAGATCGTAAAAAAGAAATGAAGTTGACGATCCGACGAACCTTTGCACAGGTGCTGATGTGCTTGCATAAATATCATCAGAGACCGCGCGGTTCCAGTGTCACGTCTCTCAAGCAAAACTTCTTTGTAACCGCACTCTCTTTTAATTATTGTGGTCGTTCGTTTAGTGGCATTTATTACAGCGAATATTTTACGAATGATAAAGATTGCGGCAGTGATAGAGCGAGTCCGAGCGCCAACTGACTTACTCGCGTCTATCGTATCTCATGAGAGATTTCGAAGACTTGGTTTTGGCAAAATTATATTCCTATTTTGAAAAAAATACGTAACTTTCCGATCACTTATCGCTAATAAGCGCGTACGGACTCGTCGATTGACGATACTTCCGAGTATTACCACTTCAGGGGCGGATTCGAATCTCTCTCTCTCTCAAGGAGAAAAGATTTCCATGCCGATGTATAGTTTCATCGAGTGTCTCCGAGTTACGCATATTGTACATACATACTTACACGGCCTTTCACGAGGGTGAGCAAAACAAAATCATGACTTTCTAAAAAAGTAATCCTAACGAGCCGAGTAAAAATCGTATCTGTACGAACGAGACTGCGGAACT